CTATGTTTTATTTTATTTTATTTTTATTATTATTATTTTTTTTGACCTTTTTTGTTTTTTTGACATGGATTATTAATGAGGTTTCATTCCTAGGGAAAAGGGATGCTATGACCCTACTAGGAAATAGGAAATGGGCTTGTAAAAGTTTTGAGTGTATATACAAGAGTAATAATATTTAGACCGAATTCTCGTACTTTTTGATATTCATTATAACAAACGGGATATAGATAGAACTATTAAACTTAACAAGTAGGTTTGAGAATTCGGTCTAACAATCATTTTTCATATATATATATATATATGTATATATATATATATATCTAATAATTTTATAATATTGGAGTTAATAGTTGTGTTTTAAATGTAATTTCACAGTTGGTTGATTTATCATATATTTTCATTAAATTAAAAAAAAAAATCCATATTTTTTACATAGATTTCTCTCCAATAAAATCAACATTGTGGAACCACCTACACAAAGAATTAACGTTTTCATCTTTATAAGAGCCTGATACGGCTAGGTTACTGGCTGGTTGATCTTGTTGAAATGTTATATTTTTTCGTACAATGAATTAGAGAACAATCCTCTGTTTTAGCTCCATAAACCATGAAAAATGGGCTATCTTGGTTTCAGGTTAAAGAACTCAAAGACCAAGTTATTTTAGGAACTTCATTATGTGAATGATTTCTGGAAAATTGAAATTGATCTATTTATTAGATTTAGAGACATTCATTAATACAAAGAGAAAGAAGGGTATATATATATATATAAAGATTACATGATCTTGTCAATAAATTGTCTCAATAACATTGACAGGGAGGATTTCCTGCATATAAATATTTTTTTCCTTAAATGTAAACGTAGTGCTGGAAAATGTATCAGGGGCATTCAGAGAATCAAAATGGGGATCGTCTGCCATATTTCTTATTTTACTTTTATTCTCTACGTCATTCTTTTCAGCCTTTTGTGTCTGCCATAATGTTAAAATATCAGTTTGCCTTAATAGTGCTTTAAAAATAAATTTTGCTTTTTCTCTTTGTATTTCATAATCAAAGAGTTAGTGTACAGCCGTTGATATAAATGTTTGTAATTATGCAGCTGATGTTATGGTTAATAATTATGTGTGTGTGTATATATATTTGAAAAGTTTAAGTGTATGATTACAAGTCTTGGTTACTTACTTATGTTGAGTTTGTTTAGGCATCTCTGACCCTTCAATGCATAAGAACCATTTGCAAGAATATACTCAGAAGTCAGGCTTACAGTTTCCAGTTTACGAAACTATCAACGAAGGCTTTCAGCATGCCCCAAAGTTCAGATCAACCGTGTTGGTTGATGGGGTAAAGTTCATATCTACGTCAACTTTCTCAAATTTGAAAGAAGCTGAGCAATATGTTGCCAAACATGCGTTAGAATGCATAACAAAAAGGACAAACATCCAAGGGTGCCCCCTAATCCATCAGGTGTGTTTCAAATGCAAGAAAATTTGCCTTATAAACATGTGTTCATAAATGGGTGACAGCATACTTAAAGTTGCTCAAAATGACTTAGACATCAGTTCCAATTTGATTCCACATTAGTGGAGGTGATCAATGTTATCAGTGTTTGGGATAATTCTGTGCCTGTTAAGATTTTGGCTATTATTAGAATTTGGATTACTTGTTTGATGATTTATTGGTTGTATCTAGTTTTTTTGCTGTAAATGTAACAGACTACATAGATATCAAAAGATAGTGCTGTCTTTTTGTGCATCTGAAGTGAATTATGTGAAAATTTTGCTATAAAATCTAGGAGGGAGGGCTTTATCTCGGGCCTCTGCCATAACTTGGCATGTCAAGCATTACGAGTCAATGACCATGGAGATTTGTGATGCCTTGTTCTTTTTCCTTAGGCAGCCAATAAAATTTCTTTGCGAGTGACGGTTTAGGAAGTGTATCTTTAATTTTGATGCCACAATGAACAGCAGAGTTGAGGGTGGCAGGGTTCCAACTTCAGGAAGGGGTAAGTGGTATGCTGCTATGCATAGCGGTGTCACAACTATATTTCTACGTACAATGTTTTTAAAGAACTGGTTATGTCGTTGCCTATTATTTCGTATTTGGAACCAGTTGAAGCAGATTCTTTGGCAGTTCCAGGTGTTACATTATTAGGTTTCTCTGTGGTACAAGTTAATTAAAATGCCACACTAAATATATCTTTTTTTTTTTAATTTTTTAATTTTTATTTTCTTTTTCTAGAATCCATTAGTTTGCAAGTCAGTCTTGTATGAATTTGCTGTCAAGATGAAGTTGGATAGTCCCAAGTATACAACTGAACAAGCAAAAGGGGCACAACCAGTTTTTGTCTCTTCATTGGTTTTCGATGGGAAAAGTTACACCGGCGATGTATCCGGTCGCAAGAAAATGGCGGAACAGTTGGCAGCCCGCAATGCCATTCAATCACTTCTTGGTATAGTTTTTGCAGCTCTCTCAATATACAGAGTGTTTGTGTCTTGGTAGATGATATTAACATTTGTCATGCTTTTTGAAGGATCACATTCAGGAAATCTTCTCAATCAAATTATCAAGTCCAAGGACAAACGCAATGCTTCATTACATTCAGTGATAGACTTGGGCTTCAGCAAAGAAATCTTTGAAACAGCTGTTCAACCAGGTAAAAAGTGTCTGATCTATGTTTGTTAGTTATGGTTCAAATTGAAATTATAAGGGGCACTAGCAATTTGCTAATTGATGCATATTCAGGAAGTTCTTCACGGCAGCATAGTAATGTCGTTGCGGAAATACACCACTCAGGATATTCTTCAACACAGCCGAATAATGTTTTGGTAAGATGTCCTCCTTGTTTGTCAAAAAATAAGAGACCAAATGACGAAATTTTTATGCAGAAAATGCATGCACAGTCAACTTGGTGTTCTTTATGTGCATGAAACCAACACTTTTCTGTTTCAATTGTTACAGCCTTCAGATGCCGGCTCCAATTGTGATTTCACAACTGTTCATCCTAGTTGTGGGGCAAAACGCAGACTTGAACTAAACAATGTGGAGAACAAGAAGACAAGAAGTCATGGGAATTAAATACATGCACATATGGTGTTTTGGATAGTTTTAGGTTCTCAGGATTTTAGTTTCCCAAAACTTCATTGCCTTTTGTTCCTTTATGTGCATTGATGTGTCATATATTGGGAGAAAATTTGGCTATTACAGTTCAAGACATGCCAAGGTTGATAGGATTGGGTCCTCTGAAGGCCAGATCTGGAGAAATTATTGTCCTACATCTCTATGCATTGAATGTGGTTATGTGTGAAAAACTTGTGTATGTCATTGATATTGGTTTTTCAAGGGGACCTAAAAATCAACATTCTGCCATCTCAATTTTTGTTTGTGTGAGCGCTTTTATGTATGCGTCGCGGCTGACAAAGGCCGTTGAAATCTTCTTCAAATAAATTTATTATCACGATTCCACACACACAAACACACATACATTGAATAGGGACTAAAATCCTCTCGTACGCAACAGTAAATCGGTTCCCTAAAGTTAGTGATGCACATTAAGAAAATATAGTGATGTTAGACTTGCATCCCAATATTTTCCTAGCATGTATCACTAACTGGAGGGGACCGGTTAACTATTGCGTAGGAGAGGATTTTGATCCATTGAATAGATGAATTTTTTCCAATCTAGTTTGTCATAGGTATCAGAAACAATGTCATTATATTGGTTTGTTGCAATACATACAGTTAGTAGGTCATTATTGAAGGGCTTCTATGTTGGGAACACTACAGACATCTTATGCAGAAAAAAAGAAAAAAGAAAAGTGACACAAACCTCAACTGAAAGGCACTACAAAGAAAGAATAATTCATACATGGAATCCAAGTTGGAGAATGAGGCTTTTCTGATCCGTAAAACCCCTCGATCTTCCAACTGAAGATCCTCAATACAGCCTTCATCAACTTGAATCAACATTAGGAAAAATTGTGACAACTTTCATCCTACCTGACATAATATTGTTCGTTTTTGACTCTTCAGGACCAGATTTCGCACTGTGTCATAGAAGGGTGGTCATCCATCATAGTACTACTCTAGCATAAACATGTTTAACTGTGGAGTTCTAATAGATTCACGGTCATTATGACTTTAAAACACGTTGTGTTATAGATGTGGGATCATGACATCAATAACCTACCAGTGTGGTAGCTCACCCGGTATCTCGTACCTACCCATATCATATCCACCCGCTGAAGTCCTCGTAAATATGGCAAGGTAACCATAAGTACATCAGTCTATCGACTCTTAATGAAATAAGATAGCCTAACAATTGTATCTTGATTGAGTTCCATACACACATATGTAATATTAGTGAATGCCAATTGGATGCATCATCTCCTGAGTTCTTCTGCACTCAGTGACTTGTGAAATAGTTTGACTTGGAACTTAAAGTGGAACAGAAAGCTTGACCAAATCTTTACGCCAGAAGAAACTAGGGACATTAATTGAACAATAAACACTTCAATTTCTAAGGAGGTGATGTAGTTAATCTTCTCTAATGAATTTATCAAATCATCAAACCTAAAGGCATAAGGCTAAAAACTAATGTTGTCAATATTCTTTATTATATATATATATATATATATATATAACTTTTTATGGGGGAAATGGTTCATTCACGTAACAAAGATGTTCAGTACAGGCACTTTATACACTTTAAAAAAAATTATGCGTTTAATGTAAAGCAAGTAGTTTGTTTTTAGTGATACTATTTTGTTGGTCATATAGTTTTGATAACATATTACTGGAACTTAATGAACCAGAGTTATCATTTACCCAAAAAAAAGAATCAAACACATGATGAACTTTATTTAGGAGTTAGGGCTAATGAATTGAAGAAAGCCATGGTTACTAGTGTCCAATCTCCAAACTAATTAGAACAAGCAGGTCGTAGACTATAATTGACTAAACGAAAGCATTCAGAATTTCATACGTTAAATTAGAGCTGAGCCAAGCTCAGGACTAAAGGGAACTGAAACTCTAAACTAGAATTTCAGGCATGTTTAAAATGATTGTGGACGAAAACAGAAGGAATTTTCAGAAGTTAAAGAAATAAGCCTATCATTCTGCACCTTACTGACAATCATAACATATCTCATGCACAATGGATTGGCACCCACTTGAATTCTTTGCAAAAATGTAGTGTGTGCCAAATAATCGAAATAGGATGAAGTGAAAAACACTATTGATGACATACTATCCCTATTTGAAGCACTTCTCTTCTGATCCTTGAGAGCTGGAACTGCTTGGCAAAGTAATAGAGAGCATGAGCTTGTTTGCACTGTTATTAGCGGAGGCAAATTATAACTTTGTAAGTGCTTCAAAACATACTAATATTAACCATCTTCAGCAATGAATGAAAAGAGAAGGAACTGTTCTTAATTGCAACGAAGAACACCAGCTTTTGTACCAAAATGTAGTTGAATACCATGATCCCTGTAACCAGGAATCAAGGAAAAGTTTCTTTTACTTGTATATGAAACTCCAGCATATTGAAAAAACCAAGCAGGTTGGAGATGATGGGAAGATTAGGACAACCTTAGTATAAACGCAATTGTTCACCCCATTCAGGGAAAACAAAAAAAAAAAAAAACAACAACGCACTTGTTAGGAACTGGATTTGGCAAGTGTTTCTGGTATACCTCCCTTCTGATGTTACTCTTCCGTATTAGTGCAAGAACGCCGTGCCTATAATAGAATATTCACATATCTCCAGGGGAAAAGCCAATGAAAGACTTGTTTTTATATAATCTCACCTGAAACATTTCTGCTTGTCATGCTCTGGTGATGCATGGTTGAAGTTTCTTATCATTTTGCATTCCGGAATCTTTATGAATTGGTCCAGCCACAGTTCAGATAACTAATCACAGAGGAATCTAGTTCAGTGCAATCCAGTAGATCACAGTACATTTTGATCATCTCAGGTTTTGCTCCATTTTTGCCCAATAAACCTTCAAGGAAATGGATTCTTCCAAGCACATTTTAGATGTCCAACAGTAAGGTTGTAAGAATGTCATTCCTCACTCTTTCTGTGTAAGTAGTAAAAAAGATACTGAGTTGAATATTAAAAATTATCAACCCAAAAGATGCGGAGTTGCAGTGAGTGAATTTGCAAAAAATCCTTAGCTATTTCTCATCTTTTATCTGTTCCCTCTCACCAGTAATCCCCACAAGAACACACACCATCTTTGAAGTGGTGAAAACGGTTCGAATCCCGGAGAATTATTAACCTTCCAACAATTTTGGAAATGTGTTTGATCACGGTGTGGCAGTCTGCACACACTCTTAAGTTCTTTATCACCCGGATTGGTCTCCCATCTGGTATCGTAAGAATCCCAAATGCAACAGCTAATTTTTCACTGTGATGCTTGAGCATATGCTCCTTTTCCTCCTCTTCCACATCATGTAAAACCAATTTCGTAGAAGAAACATAGCCCTCCTGCTTCATCCGTAAATCCAAGTCTTCTAAGAAGGCATATATTCTACCACTCTCTGGATGGGTGGAATCCCCAACTGTAAATGTATGAATCTTGTTTTGCACTTCAACCCAACTATATCCAGGCACTTTCCTCACACCTATATCTCTCATTTTCACTCTCATCTTACCAACATCACCCCATCTACCTGAAGATGCATATAGATTTGAGAGAAGAACATACATTCCTGCATTATCAGGCTCCAGCTCAAAAATCATCTCAGCAGCCTTTTCTCCCAACTCAGTATTACCATGAATTCTGCTCGCACCAAGTAGAGCTCCCCATGCTGCAGCATCTGGTTCAAAAGGCATGGTTTTCATAAGATTATGGGCATCATCTAGGTGTCCAGCACGTCCCAAAAGATCAATCATGCAGGTATAGTGCTTTGAATTTGCAGTTATCCCATAATCGCGATTCATTGAATAAAAATATTCTTTTCCTCTGTCTACCAAGCCAGTATGACTACATGCGGATAAGACACCAACCTAAACAAACATAAACACAATTAAAACAAATAAAAAGAAAAAAACCTTTGCATGGAGAAGAGATTAAAAAAGAAGAAAAGAATAGAAGCCAAACGTCTCCCGAAATTAATTTCATGAAGATAGATTAAAGATAAAGGATAAACAGAACTTAGAAGTAAGGCCTGCATCACATAAAAGATATATATATATTCTCTCTTTGGGCTGTAGCATCGGCAGGTAAAATTATAAAATAGTCTATATATATATATATATATATATATATATATTCTCTTTGGGCTGTAGCATCGGCAGGTAAAATTATAAAATAGTCTACTGAGGCACCCTTTGATAAGCTTTTCTGAAATGCTATTGAGAAGCAATAAAAGCACTACCTATGATATGAAAAAAAGAAGAAAGTATATTGGGAATTTGGGATGGCCATGGTAATGGTGATGTGAGGGACACAGAATTTTTTCTTTACAAGAGAGATAATCATTTTAAGATCAAGGCACACCTCTTATGCTTTTTAACTTACAATGGAAAAAAAACATCAAAGTTCTTAAAACAATTGAAATGCCATCTTAACAATCCCAATACCTTATCATATTACTTAAATGTAAAAAAAAAAAAAAAATGGTAACTAAGCAAGAACATCTAAGAAATCAAGGTTCAAACATAATTGGAAAAATAAAAAAGTAGCTACCAGAAGGGAGAAAAATAGTAAGATCACTATGAACAAGGTGAGGAAAAAAATCATTTTTTTCTTTTTTCCAGTAATATGTTTAGCCTTAATTTTTCACCGCATTATGAATAAGATATCATTTATTTAAATATACATGTGTGCCCAAATGCACACATACATATGAAATGCAACTCCTTTATTTACACATTCAACTAAAAAGCCATAATGAAAAAATTCAGAAGACAGTACTTCCAAGGTAGAGATAAGACATCAAGTGAAAGGAAATGCAACAAAGGTTGTAGCATCCTATTTATGAAGCAAAAAAGGTTAGAGACTTAGTGAAATATACAAATTCTAAGTGATAAAATAACTATTCACTAATTCTGCATGGAACCATTTTATGTTTGGTGAAAATAAATTGGTTTAGAATGGTACGTTACAAAATAATAGAAGAAATGCATAATTGAGAAACTATTAGTCACTGAAAGTGAAAGATGAATCTTCTCTTTTAGATGCCAAATTTAACAATATTCCTTGCACAAAATAAAAGATATAAAACTTCCATTAGCTTAAAAAACAGATGTACTAGCATAACATTTTCCTTCAAAGGTATAATATATTCATGTAGAAGAAAAACAATACACGAAATCACAAGAACTGTTTTTTATATATTATGAGAACCAAGGATGAAAAGAACAAACATTTCAAATGCTTGCTCAAACATTAATCAGCTTGGGGTGCTTTGTTATCACCTGGGGTAGCAATTCTTGCTATGGCCCATGACCCACAAACACTCTGTTGTTTTCCCCCACAGGCCCACTGTACCTTTGTCAACATGACACAGTATGTGAATGGAATTGGACACGTGTCCGAAACACAAACTCAAATTTGATATTCCAATCCTCTATATGTGACCATTAAACTAGAAGAAGAGTTTAGATTTGATAGAAGAAGGGTTTCCTACCTTTTAACATGGAGAGATATATGGTAACCTCTTTTCTCCACATTTGGGTTGATTTAAATTATATTTCACTATACACTTAAATTACTAATATCACATTATTTCAATATCATAAAAAATAAGTGTATTTAAATGTGCAGGACATATCCAAGTATGGTTGTCTAACTTATTTTCACTCCTTAATCCTTTGAACAAGGGGAATGGGTGCGTTGTTACAAAGACTATCTTACACACTTGAGGCTATTTTCTTGATTACTTGCGCTTTTCAACCATACAAGTAGTAGTGCAGAATCCGTACATTCCAACGCACTTGGTCATACAATACTTGGTTATTACCATCCAAGAGTGCTCACTAAGTGAAAGTTGCAGGACACAAACTATTATAACAGATGAAAGTTGAAGTTTGATGTTGTCAAGAATATGGAACTCGTGTTAAACATGCAATGAATATATATCAATTAACCAAAACTAAAAATATTATATAAAAAATTACCATGGTGACATCATCAGGTTTAATACCCGCTGACTTCATTGACTCGAAAACTTTCAGAGCTTCTTTGCCAAAGCCATGCCTTGCATAACCATAAATTATTGTGTTCCATGAGACGACGTCCTTCTCTGCAAGTCCTTCAAATACATTGTACGCTTCATCTATGCTTCCACACTTACAATACATTGCAAGAAGTGCATTACCCACAAAGCAACCAGATTCATATCCTGCTTTCACAAGCCGCCCATGCACTTGTTTCCCAAACTCTAGAGCAGCAATCTCAGCACATGTGCTCAAAACACAGGTAAAAGTTGACCTATTCAACTTTTCCCCATCTCTCTTCATCTCTATAAATAGACGCAAAGCCTCTTCACTATTACCACTTTGAGCATACCCAGCAATAATTGCTGCCCAAGAGATGCAATCACGTCGAGGCATTCTATCAAACAAGTTCCTAGCATGAGCAATTTCACCACCCTGAGCATAACCAGTAATCATTGTATTCCAAGAACTAACATTCTGACAAGGCATTGCTTCAAACAATTCCATTGCCATGTCCATTCTCTTACTCTGTGAGTACCCTGCAATCATAGCATTCCATGAAACTGAATTTTTTTCTGGCATTTCATAGAATATTTTTCTAGCTTCATTCAACATTCCATTTTGAACATACCCAGACACCATTGCCGTCCACGTGAAGATATCCCGAATTGGAGACTCATCAAACAATCTCCGTGCTTCTGTCAATTCCCCATTCTGGGTATAACACGAAATCATGGTATTCCACGAAACAACATCTCTCAGGGGCATTCTATCAAAAAGCTGCCTCGCATTGACCAACCTCTTCTTCCTCACATACCCACCCATCAAACAATTCCAAGAAACCACATCCCAATCCGATTTCGTTTCAAATAACCGACGGGCATCTTCTATTCGTCCGTTCTGCACATACGCAGCAAGTAGCCCATTCCATGATATAGAATTTTTGTTGGGCATCTTATTGAAAATCATCCTTGCTTCATCAACATACCCATTCTGGGCATAACCCGACAACATGGCATTCCAAGAAACAATATCCTTTTCAGGCATTTGATCAAACAACAACTTGGCAGCACCTAGATTCCGATTCCGGACACACCCACTAATCATCACATTCCATGAAACCAAATCTCTTTCCGGCATTTTCTCGAACATCAATCGGGCATCGTCGAACCTGCCGTTCAACAAGTATCCAGAAATCATGGTGTTCCAGGAAACTGAACTGAGATGGGGCATGGTCTTGAAGAGATGTAGTGCGGACTCGCATTGGCCGTTGCGCATATAATTGGTGATTGCAATGTTCCATTTCACTATATCCGAGTCTCTGGTAGAAGATGATGATATCTTTGGTGGTTGTTTGATAGCTGTTTGTTTTGATCGACGGCATTGTTTGGGGTTTTGAGGGTTTGTTCTTTGTATATTGTTAAGGGGTTCACTTCGCAGCCATCGTAAACAGCTGCTGTGTATCTGCCTGGAGTGGCTACGGAAGCTCATGATATGAGCAAAACAGTTGGTTAGGACAGCCTTTAAACTTTAAAACATGGTAGTTTTGGCGGGTAATGCTTCATAGAACAATAGAAGTCGAATGATAGGGAGAGTAGAAGTAAACCACAAAGACTCGCCTTTTTTGGCTTTACTATTAGCTGCTTCTCCTCATTTTACCTAGTTTTACTTGGATTTTTTCCCCATTTATGTGTATGGTGTGCCAAAATTATATATATAATTTTTTTCCAATTTGTTTTTTTTTGGCTGGCACCGGAACTCACTTGGGCAGGCCCCTTCGGGACCCACCCTAGGTTACAAATAGGGATGCTTTCGATGGCCCTACACCTCAGCAACAATTTCAGTCGAAGGTATAATGGCGATGGACAGGTTCGAACCTGGAACATGGTCGTTACCTTACCAACTTGGTAAAGCTCCGGGACTCTTGTCTTAAATTTTGTTATATACTAAACGGTATATAAAAAAAAAAAAAAAAAAAAAAACCTATTATATAAAAAATGTGCAAGTAATATGTATGCTATTTAGTATGTTCATATAAATCCGTGATAGTCAATTTTGACCTTTTTTTTTTTTTTTGTTATAAAATTTTCAAGAGACTCTTAATAAAATTTATGCATGTAAGTATTTTTTTATTTTACTTTAAAGGTATTTTAGGTATTTCAATACTCAAATTGAGAAAATATCCTTTTTTACTCAATTTGAAAAATGCAAGTTTATTTTTTGAACACTAGGTATTTTTTTGCACATTATGTACTTAATAAGGTTTTTTTTTAGGTGCACTTTACCCTCTCTTAATTATTTATATATATATATAATAGTTTGAAAATAAATGTTGTATATATATGAATATTATAATTTCTTTTTTATATATATAATAGTTTGAAAATAAATGTTGTATATATATGAATATTATAATTTCTTTTTTATAAATTATAAAAAAGAAATTATAATATTCATATATATACAACATTTATTTTCAAACTATTATTTTGTACCGTGTAAATAATACACAACATGTCTCATATTTGAAAAAAAGTAGAAGAGTTGTGTTAGATACTTTAACAGGTAATGTGAAACTTTGCTATAAAGCAATACAGTATATAACATGAATCCTGTAAATATGAAATGTAGATTATATGCAGCCAAAGCTCTTTTTATTGTTGGTCCCAATTAAAAAATTGTGTCTCCTCCTGCCCAACTACTCCATCACTTAACCTACAATTCAGAGGGTCAAAACTTTTGGCAACTGCAAACAACAGGAACAGACAATTACTACTGCCATTCGAGAACTACTACATAACCAGTAGAATACTCCTCTTGTAAGGATCGAGAGATATAAGCAAGAGTATCGCAGATCCACGAGACGTTGATACAAACACCTTTGGACAACAACTATTTCATTTTATATGGTTCTTGAGGCTCATCTTTCCTTTCCTTTATTAAACACAGCGGTCGAATAAATAAAATAACAAAATTTGTTTTAGTTCAGGTATACCACATCGGAAAAAACAGAGATGCGAATTAGCCGAGTATTATATAAGGAATTGAAAGTCGACCAAGCAACATACTTATCTGTACGTGGTCAATTGGTGATCAAAATGGTCCATGGCCTAAGTTGACGATCTCTATTGCATTTAGGAGGGTCGCTCGAGGGCCAGCTGGTTGAACTTATGTCATAATTTGTGGTAGTGGGGGCCAGCGTTCGAGCAACCCCTTCCCAATTTATAAATAAAAATTTTTAATATCACTTTACAATTTTTGGATAAAAATAGAAAAATTTAGGAGGGTTTCAAATTTCATATTTTGCCTACTATCATGGTTATTATTATTATTTCTAATTTTCTTTTCTTTTTCATTTTTTTTTTTTTTTTTTTTTTTTTTGGCAAAGCTAAACAAACTAGACTAAACAACCCACTTGAGAGTAAGAGATTCCCCAACTTTTGGATTATTCTTCCTTTCATTCTTGCATTTAGTTATTAATCAATCTTTAGAGTCGAATTGGAACTTTATGTCACTACCATATTCCGTTGACCTTTACATTGCACACAAATTACATTCTTCACGTGTCATCATTAGCCACCGATCACCCATCAATATTTTAATATATCATCCGGCTAATCTTATCTTAATAATAATAATAATAATAAATTATTATTATTATTATTATGTATATCCACATTTCTGTGCTGCATTATTTTCATATGAGATTTTTGTTCATTTTTCGCCAGATCAACACTCTTATAATTTAATTTCACCACAAACGAACTACTCTGGATCATTCAACTAAGGTCAACGCATGACCAAAGTTGTTTAGACTGAAATCCCTCTTTAAAAAGTGAGTGTTCCCCAAAAACAAATTAATTAAGTTGATATATATAGAAGTAAAAAGTTTTTTTCTCTAACTTTTTTTATCATATTTTTGACCCCTGATGAGACATTAAACTTGCAACGTACATTTCCTAGGCCAAAGTAAAATAAGAGCATCTTTTGTTTAATTAAAATTTTGAAGGGTGTGATCAATTTTTTCTCTCTACAATAGTTGGAAGAACTCATACTTCAAGAAAGATGCTAATGGCATCTTTGATACACACACACACACACAGTTCATGACCATAAGAAAAATAACTTGGACCTACTAGCATTTGATTCCATTCTCGAAATATCAATTGCATACATTATCCGGAATTTTAAATTGATTGATTATATATGTTATTGTTATAAATGTATTCTTTACCACACCAACCCATTATAATATATATATAGAGGGCCATGATTTCTCTTACCTACTAAGAGCGCTTGAACTTTGAACCCCAAAAGGTAGTATGATTTGTAAGAACTTTAACCTACCATCAAACAATATGATTTATATCAACAATGGACATTAATTTAGTATGATCTCTCTTTTTCTAAATTAAAAAAGTTGAGTCTTACTGGAACTAATATTATAAATGTGTGTTTACTTGAACTTTCAAAATATATATATATATATATATATATATATATATATATATATAAACTTTTTTCTTTATAAAAGTAATTAGCGATGGGTGTGGCTTAGTGATTCTCACCAAGGACCATAGATTTATTTATTTAATTTTTTCTTACCAAGATTTGGAAGTTGAGGAGATACACTCTATTACAACCTTTGGTAATATAGAAATTGAAGAGTGAAAACCAATGAAAAGTCATGTTTGGACATCTATATTTGATAATCGCATCAATAATATTTTTTTAAGGAGAAGTCATGTTAGTAGACAACTTTGGTTGGTTGCTGCAAATCGGACAAATATTCCTTATAAATTATATGCAAGTTGCAGAACACACAAACACACACTCTCTCTGCCCTTTGGACCAAACTAAAAGTGGTTTACGTACCCAAGTCACATAATTGAACATGAGGAAGCTTCTTCAAAATTGTACTATTAATATGTGACCAATTATCAAATTATAGAAGATACTCATTCAGTCCAAGTTTGTCTTGATTTTAAACCACACCAACCCACTAATATTTTAGTCCTCAATAACATATGTACCCTAATATTGCCAGTCCCAATTGTGCAGTAATTGACAATGGAGTTGGTAAGAAACAGACACATTTGATGATATATATATATATATATATATATATATATATATATAACCTATAATTTCTCACTTGGCCGGATTGAAGATGATGGACCTAGATCCTCATTTTTTTTTTTTTCCCACTTTTTCAGAGGCCATTAGCTTAGTGGAGTATCATGCATTGCAGCCAAGCAATATATCATTCAAATAAGGTGGTCAATTTGCCACTCTCTCTACCAACCTGTCTATCATCACAATTTTTGTCTTTGTCATGCTAACTAATTGTTAATTATATATAAGAACCCAAGAAAATAAATATATATTTCTAAATGGTTGATATATATATATATATATATATGGGACTTATGTCTAAATGGTTGATAGGAAGTTCTTGGCAGTTTAGTAGCCATCTTCCAAGGGTGCACTTGAGAAGGTGATCATGAGGAGTTGCTATGGTTTGCTAGTAGTGGGACTGCTACTACTTGCCAATGCTCTACCTTCTTCCTCCTCTTCTTCGCCAGTGACACGGCGTTTTGTCTTCAACGTACTCTCTCTCTCTCTATAGAATATATATATAAATTATTTATTTATATATATCTCACACACACATGTACACACACTTGTGTTGAACAAAAGATGTCATTGAAGCATTATATGTATGCGGATTTGATTTCAGGTTGAGTGGAAAAATGTAACCAGGTTGTGCCATACAAAGCCACTCCTAACGGTGAATGGGGAGTTTCCAGGGCCAACCATTGCTGTTCATGAAGGTGATAATGTTGAGATTAAGGTCACTAACCGCGTCGCTAGTAACACTACTCTCCATTGGTGAGTATTCATTTTTACACCGCATATATATATATATATATATATTATATGTTGTTGATTAATGCATGCATTTGTAACATCCTATTCTATACTATTTATTTTTTATTTATTTTTTCAGTAATTCAAGCAAATTATATACTATATCTTATTTGCGGTCCTAGGAATCACATCAATCACCAAACATGACAATACCCGCCTAGAAGACATTGCGGAATGAAAAATCCCAAAACCCTACTTCTGAACACCGACTATGAGATGTGGGCAGATTCAGAGTGCCCAAAAGACCTCTTCGTTCGTTTAAAATCCCTCGTACCAGCATTATTGCAATTAGATGACCTCATAAAAGACTGCAAAACCTAAAAAGAACGAAGAAAGAGTCAATCCATCAACAAGGACGGATAAAGCGATTTCGCGCTAAATCCACCATCGAGTACCCTCACAATTGGTGTCCGGGAGTCGATAAGGGTATCATTACTCTTTTGAAACATATCATTATCAGGGTGGCTCAATATAATTTGATGCCTTAGGCAAAAAATATAAAAATGATCTTTTAATATCTAATATATAGTCGGTCCAATTAATCTTTCTTATCATATAATTCATCTTAAAGTTATACAACTTTTACTTAATAAAAAAGGAGGAAAAAAAGGGTAAGACAAAGATAGAAATCTTTTAGCCCTTATTAAATCTTTATTGGTCAATGTCTAATACTAGATACAAATAAAATTTTCAAAGAGGTTAATAAGGAAATAAAAAAAATTGGGGCCTTTTTATTAGGTAAGAAGGAAATAAAAATTCAAGAAGGTTATAATATAAACAAATAAATTTTTTTTTGAAAGTTATAATATAAGAAAATAAAAATTTTAAGACCTTTTTATTGGTTGGAGTCTGATAATAGGAAGGAAATAAAAATTTTAGAAAGAAAATAATATAAAAAAATAAAAAAAAATTGAGGCCTTTTCATTGACTGAGGTCTTAGGTGATTGCCTAAGTCGCCCAAGAGTTGAGCCTGCCTTGACGATTATCTAGGGCTAGTTTTGCCGACGTGGTAGTGGTATTTCTGTGAAACACTAGACGGGAACAAAAACTACATAGCCCTCACAGTAGACAAATTTTCTAGCATTGATTGCAATTTGCATCACAGCCCTTAATTTTTCTTGTGATAGCTCTCAACAGAATATTCTTCACATGCATATGGATCAGTCTGACACCACCTAATTTTATGCCATCATCAGTCTGACAACACCTAATTTTATGTTGTTTGTGCATATATATGTAGATTCGCAAAATATATATTATAGAATGAGGGTCTATGTACACCCTCGGCAAGCATTTAAAAACATTTAGATCCACCATCCCAAGTGTTGAGTGTTAAAAACATTGATTTGTTGATTTCTATACACATGTTTTCAAATACTCTTTTGTTTGTGTGTTTTTATATACATGTTAGTATGTGTGTGAAGCATAAACTCATTAAGAAATTCTCTTAAGTAAATACTTGTATTAATCGCATTTTATTACCATATATCCCAACTTCATTCTGTATTTGTTTCAACCCTTTCAATGATAGACCATCAAATTCGCCTTGTTTTGATAGTGATCGAGATACAAGCTACTTAAATTATGGGCATCTCCAACTCATTATATGCCAAATAATTCCATTCTATCATATTATTATGTACCTATAATCACATCATACCAACATGTCATCACTTAAATGGAAAAATATATATATATATATATATATATATATATATATATTCTATATAAATATTGATTTACAAATGGTTATTCTATATATATATATTCTATATAAATATTGATTTACAAATGGTTATTCTTAGAGATGTTTCAATTAGTTCTTTCTTTCCCAAGATGAAAACACTTTCGTCAGTGACTCTGCAGTCTGCAGCAACAAACTAAATTCTGCCAATATCAATTGTCCACTGTATCACTGTCCTCCTAATCATTTTTGTCTTTTATCTCATGTTGATAAGGGGGGCATCAGTTGTCCACACCTATGGACTAAAAAGAGTCATTTTGATTTTCAAAATTAACTGTATTTGAAAAAGATGTGACAACACCACAAAGTCACTAGCCGATTCCCACCGATTCTATTTAAAAAGTTTTTGAAAAGATGTGACCACAAGTGAATCCATTTTTACCTAAGTAAAGTTTGACCTCAAAATTTGTTAAATTATGAAATTTAACAATTTTGTAGATTATTAGACAAGTGTCTTATAATCACATGATTGAAATTAAGCTTAGAAATAAGAGTAAACTGTGTTTCCTTGGTTCAGCTTTTTTATTTTCAATTATGTAATTTAAAACAAATTAAAAAAAAAAATCAGCTTAGTTTAGTTTTTTGAAAATTGAATTACAAAAATATTTAGGAGTTCTTGAGAGCTGTTTTCATAAGAAACTACCAAACAAAAAACTCGAGGTAGACAATTATTGTGGAGAAACTCAAATGCATATCTTTCAATTTTTTCACTTTTCTACGGGAAGTTGTATTTCTCGGGTCCGAGTCAAAACTCAGTAATTCGATTAAGCTCTCTAAGGAACTCATTGATAAATTGTGCTTGAAAACTCAAAATATTTTTTATTTTTATTTATTTAATTATTTTTTCTTCATAGTTAATGCTCACACACACATATCTCTATGGAGACTTGAATCCTTGACTTTCCTTTGGAAAGTAAGGGTCTAATACCAAAAAAAACTTAAAAGATGCCCAGCAAAATAATACATTATTAGGCTATAGTTCAGCCCTCAATAATTTGTTGACTCATTAAATAATGAAACGACATATAGAATGAGATATACTGTCTGATGGTCCTTCACATGCTACAGAAGTTGACAGATCTAGAATTAAATTTAATCATACTATAAAGCCAAAATCTCTCTCTCCATAAGTCGTGACAAAACATTCCATGTTGCCTGATAGAATTAAAATATTACATGTGCTTGTGACTGTCTCAAATGCGCAAAGTGGGGCATGACGGATGCACATATATGAAATTATTCTGTACATGTTACTAACATATTTTTAATATATGTTTTGTGTGTGACATAATTAATAGGCATGGAATTAGGCAGCTAAGGACAGGATGGGCTGATGGTCCTGCTTACATTACACAATGCCCCATCTCAACAGGACAGTCTTACACTTACAGGTTCACTGTGACAGACCAGAGGGGCACACTGTGGTGGCATGCTCATCTATCGTGGCAACGAGCTTCTGTCTATGGCGCCTTCATCATCTACCCTCTCGTGCCCTATCCGTTCTCGGTTCCAATTCAAGCTGAAACTTCCATAATTTTTGGTAATTGTTTGATCATTGTTTCTCTATCATGTAATTTGGTAACATATTTTAATGTGTGTTTGTGTGTGACATAGGCATTGAATATTTGCTTTTTTTGGTACAGGGGAATGGTGGAATGCAGGTATAGAAGCAGTGGAAAATGAAATGATGATGTATGGGGGAGGCCCTAATTCTTCTGATGCTTACACCATTAACGGTTTACCAGGAGCTCTCTATCCTTGCTCTAACAAAGGTGAAACAAGAAACTACCAACCCCTTCTTCTATTACATGCATTACCAAATTGCACGTGTGGCTTTTTTTTGGTCTTAATCACGTTGTGCTATAAAAGCTTAAACTATTAGAGATTATGTAACTTTAATATTTAAATCCTCTGACATTACCGTTATCAACTGTAATGTGCAGATACATTTACACAGACAGTTGAGCGTGGCAGAACCTACATGCTTAGAATCATCAATGCAGCACTGAACAATGAACTCTTCTTCGCGGTGGCCAGCCATTCTTTGACTGTTGTAGAGATTGATGCAGTTTATGCAAAACCCTTTACTACCAAGGCTATAATGGTTTCTCCTGGACAAACCACCAATGTCTTGCTCACTGCAAATCAAGTCCCTGACTCCTCCGGCATGTTTGTAATGGCTGCAAGGCCTTATCGAACTTCAGTTTTCCCCTCCGACTTCTCTACTTCGATTGGTTTCTTAAAATACAAAGACATAACTAGGAGCAAAAGAATTAGACCCTCCACTAATTCTATACCTCAAAACCTCCCTCAAATGGAAGACACCCCCTTTAACACTCAATTTGAAGCCAAGCTCAAGAGCTTAGCATCTTCTCAATACCCTTGTAATGTGCCCAAAAAGATTGACAAGAGGGTGATCACAACTATAAGCCTAAACCTTCAAGATTGTCCTGCTAACCGAACTTGCAGGGGCGCGGATGGCAAGAGGTTCTTTGCTTCAATGAACAACCAATCCTTCGTTCACCCTTCCATGTCGATATTGGAATGCCACTACCGGAACCTCACCACCGGTGTTTACTCCCACGACTTCCCTGAGAAGCCCCCCAATGCTTTTGATTACACGGGAGTGGACCCATTGACTAAAAACATGAATGCAGAGTTTGGTACTAAACTTTTAGTGGTGCCTTATGGCACCAAGTTGGAGATTGTGCTTCAGGATACAAGCTTTCTCAATCCTGAGAACCATCCAATCCATGTTCATGGCCACAACTTCTTCATTGTTGGGAGGGGATTCGGAAACTTTGATGCTGCCAAGGATCCGACGCGCTACAATCTTGTTGATCCTCCGGAGAGGAACACAGTGGCAGTCCCAACAGGGGGATGGGCAGCAATCCGACTCAACGCGGACAATCCGGGAGTGTGGTTCATACATTGCCATCTTGAGCAGCATACTTCATGGGGGCTTGCCATGGGCTTGATAGTGAAGAGTGGTCCAGAACCATCTCAGTGCTTGCTTCCTCCTCCTGAAGATCTTCCGTCCTGCTGAGCTAGCCTTCATTAATTGAAGAGGCCAGTTTGGTTGAATAGAGGTTGAGATTTATGTAGAGATCAGTAATTGTGAGTCTAATCCTTGAGTAACTTCAACTAAATGAATATTTCACTCTACTAAATTAACATTGAAATGAATTGGTGAACTATGTGAAGATTTAGGGGTATTATTTAGTAATGGACTTTCCATATTCACACGATCATATCAATATCAAAAGTCCATTGCATGTATCTATAAATTAATCAATAAATCAGGAGTGACAAAATTCAACACCATCAGGTAACTTGTGCAACACATTTATTTTGAGCATGTAACATTGTAACTTTACACTTTGAAGTTGCGTTATCGATATATCCATCCTCAACAAAGTCCAGAACAAAAAAATTGTAATGGTGAGATGATAATCTGGGATCTATGATCGGAGAAATTATTAGATGGTCCTAGTCTATTTGACACTTGGTAGACTAATTTATTAATACACTTTTGTGGGATTATTTTCTCAATCTGAGAGTTTGTATTTAATTGATCCACCAAGTGTTAATGGAGCAAGGGCCATCTAATAATTTATCCTATGATTGGCTCTATGATTGGTTTAAATATTATGCATTTTAACAAAACAAAGTAGGATAAATGTGTACCATTTATATAGTTCGTTTATTTTCATGCAGTGAATCTCTAGTGTGCATGTCTTGTGTAAATTTTTGGAAGGGCCTAAATATCATCTATCTACATGCTTGATGTAACTTATCATTTTGGAGGACCAGTTGCATCATATGGTCCACGAGCTAGTGATCAAAGCTAGAATGGTGGACCAGTCTTTCTTGGCATATGCTTGACAACAAATTTATCAGTCGACAACTTGACGTATCCTCAATATTATCTAGCTACTTATCATCGTGATATTCAATCTCAGGCACACAAAAGAACTGAATGTATTTACTCCTAGTTTATGTTTCAACCACGTTAACAGCTATTCAGTTAAAACATTCACTTCATATGAGAGAGAGAGAGAGCTCCCTTGTCCCCTCTAATATATAGATTTATATATATATAGCTTAAGTTATGTTTGGAAGTAGTCAGTATGTGTTTTGAAATTGGAATTCATCCACCTTAGCGCTGGAAGTTCGAGCAAATTTGCAATGGGCAGCAAACGAAGATTCTAGGGGTATTTTAGTAATAGAATTTAGAAAAAATGATTTTAAGTACATAATTCTTTAACCGAATATGAAAGCCAAAAGTGAACCCTTCTCACTTCCTTGCATAAATGACAGTATTTAGTTAAAAAATTCTGGTCAACTTTTCAACCCAAGTATTACTACTATATAATTTATTCATGCTTAACAAAATGGTTATCTTAATTCATTATAAATTATAAATTCAAAAGTAAGAAAATTTCTTGGAGGAAATTTAATTCATTCTAAGATGCCAATTCAGCAAATGCAACATTATTAGTATATTTAAAAATGATGTCGTATGTGCATATGCAATTATATAAAATTCGTACGATCATTGCAATATTATATAAAATTATATATTTTGGAGATGGAAATGTGATAGAATAAAACGGCCTTAAAGCAAGGCAATAATTCACTCGCAATAGCTGGCAAAACTTTACGCCATTTTATGCAAGCCAAGAATATGTTATCTGTAATGCGCAGAGTGTAGTGCCATTGAAATGCTAAAAGTCAAATTCTTGCATCATAAAGAATGCCTAAGCCCTTTCAGCCCTAGAATGCTACGAGCCAATAATCATGAAAAGAAAAAAAAAAAAAATTCTACCTTGCATTTTTAAAGTATGAAATCAACACTTTAAATATAAGATTAGTGAATAATTAGCTTAACAATGGATGTGGTTGAAGATCCCCACGAGTCAAAGGGGGTAAAGCCTAGAAAGGCAGTGGCAAGTCGCTTCGACCGAGTTGAAGCTTAGACAAATATACATATATTTTGAATTTTAATTTCAAAACACTATTACATGATTATTATTATTTCTAATAACTGTTAGGAATAGAAAAAAAGTGCAATATAGATATATGTAGAAGTTTGAAACTATTGAGGATTATTGAGTCTGATCCTAAGTCACATAAAGCGGAGCGAGAGTAAGAGCGGCATAATTAAGTCATGGGAATTTGATCGGTTCAACTTTCAGTGGTTCTCTTGAGACTTCTTTGACTAATGGAGGATTTTGATCGGTTCAACTTTTAGTGGATTGGTCCATTTTGGACAGTGAGTTCCAGATGATTTCGTTTAGATGGATTGTCCATCTTCTTTGAACCGATTCAATATCCTTGGGATATTGCAAAAATTAGTTTCCAAGTTGGTTTTTGACTTACCAAAAGTCTAGATTTGTGGGGGTAAGTTGTGTTCCTTTGGGACTATTTATATCAACCTTAATAAAACTTTAGGGTAAGTGAGAGTTTCAATTGATTGATTTGTGACTACACAAGAGAGAGAGAGAGAGAGAGAGAGCACCCGATGTCATCTAAGGATATCACGGTCATTTTTAATGTTAAAACATAAACAATACATCATTATGAGGTTTATAATACCCCATAATATCATCAAGTAGGTCGGGATTGGTCACGAGAGAAGAAAAAACAAAGATAAGGGAAGACCACGAATAGGTCGACGCGTACAGGTCGATTGGTTTAGCCTCCACGCCTGCCTAGATACCTAACCATAATAGGTCGACGCGTACAGGTCGATTGGTTTAGCCTCCACGCCTGCCTAGATACCTAACCATTATATGTACCCCTCTCAGTAGAAAATAATCTAAATCTAAAAGTAATGATCTTTCAAACTCTTGATCGGTTATACCTGATATGAGATTAAAGCTCTAATGACAAAAAAACGTGAAGCTAAGTGAGCCTGACGGGTATGCTTTACTTCTATTGTAGGGACAACAAGCAAAGAATGCTTTACTTCTATTGTAGGGACAAGAAGGAAAAAAATTGAACTACATAAAAACTGTTACGCATTTGTTGTGTGTTAATGCATTTAATTTCATTTTTTTTCTTTCTTTTTTTGTTCATTAGCTAGCGCTTTACAAAATAACAATGAAAACAAGAAGCCAAAACCTACTACTATTAAGTTGCTGGTTTTGGCTTATGTTTGCTTCATAATTGAATTCTACCTATTATAAATATCGGATGGGATTAGAGTCGAACTTAACCATTATATATATCCTCTCAGTAGAACATTGGGTCGCAGTTAAGCATTTAGAAAAAATGGAAGAAACTATTACATAGTTTGACCAATGACAGTGAGACGCACAAATAAATGTATTAGATTTATTCAGTTTTTGTTTGCATATTGGATTGTAAATATTGAACGAATCATGTAGTCAAAAATCATATAATAATTTCTTAAGAAAAAGAATATGAGTCTAGAAGTTTGTAAATAGTCAACCCCACTCACCTAGCTAGCTCGCTACCAATAACATTCATTCCAAAAGAAAAATAAAAATAAAAATAAAAAAGAATGATAATCACTAATACCAATGATGGTATCACCAACTCAATGCTACATGTTAATTAGTATAACATTCATTCCATTTTTTTTTTTTTAAACGCATAAAACAACAATAATAATACCAATAATATGGTATCACACATTAAATGTAAGTAATGAGACACACCCAAATAGATACGCTTTCACTTTCGAATAATATATACTAATTAATTGGTGGTAATGGAAGCAACCAAAAGACCGTATTGATTTCATAAATGTATAAATGCCAAAAACCAAAGTATGCGTACAGTCTTAAAACATTGATAGAATGATTTGGTGATGATACAGTGTTAATTTAGATCTAGGCCATCTAGCAAACAGCCAAACTTAATAATCCAGCTTCTCTCTCCCAACCCCACCAACCTTTTGTTCATTCCATTCATTTCATTTCCTCCAAACACCAAATGCCCCTACCACCTTTATTGGTTTTCTCTCTCACCGCCACCCCCCACAAGAAATAAGCCTAGCCCATACCCAATCCTCTTTCTCATCAAACCCGTCTCTCTCTCTCTCTCTCTCTCTCTCTAAAAACCAAACATCAAAGTCTCTCCTCACCTCACTCCCTAAGAGCCATGTCCCAACACTTCTTCCCTATCTTTCTCTTCTTTGTTCTCCTGCCCGTGCTGCCCGCACTACCCGCATTACCCGGTTCGGACCCGTCATCCCAACCCTTTTTCCCGACCCCATCGCCGCCGGCGACCATTCCGGCATTTCCGGAACAATCCGACGTCGGAGGCTGCTCGTTGGACCTCCCGGAGGAGCTCTTCCACGACATCAAAGCTTCCTGCGGCGTCAAAAAGGGAAAAACCGGCAGCCAGAGCCACCGGAGCAGGTGCTGCCCGGTCCTGGCGGCGTGGCTCTACTCCGCCTACTCGGAGACAGCTCTGGGCAAAGCTCGCAGGCCGCTTCAAACGGCGTCGTACGACCTCCCACTCCTTCCGGACGACTCGGAGACCTGTGTGGACAGCCTTCAAAAGGCACTGGACAACAGAGGCATTGAATTGCTGAACCCAAACGAGACCTGCGACGTCGTTTACTGCTACTGTGGGATAAGATTGCACCCACTGAGCTGTCCAGAGGCATTCTTGGTTTCATCTAAAGGGAAGCTTGTTGGAGATAAGAGTGTGAAGAGGTTAGAGAGAGATTGCTTGAGTAACAGCGTCAATGGCTATCCGGGTCTTGTGGGTTGTTCCAAGTGTTTGAACAGTCTCTATCTGGTAATTTCCTAACCCCCTCTCTTTAGAATATCTCTATTGTTTGTTTGATTGATTAATTAGTAGACCCAATTTTGTGATGAAATTGATGGGGGAAGGAGGTGAGATTTAGGGTTTCTTCTTCTGGGTCTTCTTCAACGCAGTGCTGTTCATTTGGGAAAGTTGTTTCTTTTACCTTTTTGTTTTTCCACTACTCACTCACATGCTCGTCACTGAGAATTGTGCTGTTAGATTCCTACTCGCAGTCTTGTATTTTTGTAGCACGCGCCACCCTGTTGACGTATTTCACTACATTACTTACTTTTAAGCTAGTAAAAGGGCACAAACGCAGGTAGGTTTAGTAGAATACAAAGTTTTGATGAGCCCTGCACGGCATTATTGCGCGTCTACGGCGGTGTTTATCCCACGCGCTGCCTTAAGGCGATTGGGAACCATGTTATAATTCTTGACCAACGATTCTTCTCTTTCAACGCATCCTTGTTTTTAATGCAACGAAGTACAGTAAGGGAATGTGTACCCATCCGAATCCCAAGAGTCTGAACAAATTTCCTTTTAAGTGATTTTATTGGAAATTAGGAAAAAAACTAATTTCTTGGATACTTGGTTATATTTTAACCAAAAAAACAATGTATAGTATAGCCCAAGTACAAGCCCTCTTTCCAAAAGAAAAGGTTGGGTGTTCGAACTTTATTGGAGGCATTATGTATATACTTAAGTAAGTTATTGTTGGAGGTTTTTGAGGGCAGGTGTGCAATGGTAAGGTTTTTTTTGGTAAACAGTGTCCACATATATCTGAATCATCTGACCTTCTCCAGACTCCTAATGAGATGAAGTTTTTGCACTAAGGTTGCCTTTATTATTGAAGATTTTTGTTTCAGATCAGATTTGGATTGGAATTGGGCTTATAAGTTTTTTTAGGCACACTGCACCAAATTGAATTTTTTAACTGTTATATATATATATATATTTGATTTCGAAAAGGTAAGCAAATGTACTCTTGTTCTAAACTGTTAACCCAATTACTAAATTTTGTTCAAGTCCAAATAGTGTTGGCGCTTTCTAATTTTAGTTGTATGAATTATGATGTACTTTATAATTATTTGCAGCTTAGCGGGGAGAAAACTGGAAATTTGAGCAGGTTGGAGGACAGGATGGGTAAAATGCGCAACAGAGATTGTGAACTCATGGGTCTGACGTGGCTCCTCTCCAAGAATCGATCCGCTTACATCCACACCGTTTCTTCGGTATTACGAGCCATCATGATGAGCACGGATGGCTCTGATCCTCAATCGTGCAGTCTCAACAGTGATGGATTGCCCTTAGCCGTTGATTCCTCTGAAATCAACGATTCCTCATCAATCGTCCCCCAATTATCGTTCTACCTCTGCTTCATTCTATTTTGTTTGTTATACATTAGCTCCACTGTATGACGAGTATTAGCTTATCTGTAGTTCTAATTATGTGTATTTACAATGCGCCTAAATTGCAAATTTGTATCTGTTGATTTAGGTATCAAGGGTTGTAGCGCGCCAAATTGAAAAGTCTAGGATTCAAGTCGAGCAACTTGAATATGCGTGAGTTTCTTGTCCAAGTAGTTGAAAAAAAAAAAAAAAAAAAAAAAAAAAAAAAAAAAAAACATTATTTGTTGATTTAGGGGAGGGGAATTGTAAAATTTTTTGGTAATCCTAAACCATTTATGAAAAACTTATTTTTCCCATATTGTTGTCCATTCATGAAGGATATGAATACGTTACTAATTTAGTTGTCGGCATATTTTTCTTATAACCGAAGTACAGAGATTTAAAGATGGTGAGTACGTAGCTTTATTTTCTTTTTCGATTGATTTTAATTTTAATTCTTATCAAGTTAATAATAAATTTTTTTTTTTTTTTTTTGGTTTCTAATTGGTACTTTCACGCACATACTTCCATTAATCTAATTAATACACGGAATAAGTTAAAGAGCTATAAAAAAAGAGAGATTATTTTTAGGTGGAAACCTCAGCGAGAAAAACTATATAGACTTTATCATTTAGGGCAAATTGATCCACGATAATGGAAATATACACAAGGTTTTCGTGTATTCGGGATTACTCTACACGAACATAAGGTTTTCGTGTCTTTGGAATTACTCTACACGACTCATCTTTCAGTGCTTTTATAATATATATATTGTTGTTTTACCTTCAACACTCAATGATTTTTTTTTTTTTTTTTTGACTCTATTACATCCAGAATCATTAGTAATATTGATTTATGCCAATGCATTCACCTCATAACGGGTATGTTTCTCATAGTGATCACATGTCTATGGTGTTTCACAAGTGTATGTAAATAATCTATAATTTATATGATAAAATCAATGAAGTGTCATCCTCTCATACTAGTCACAGTTGTATAAATGGCTCCAATCTAATCTAAAATAAAGTATCAATGAATAAAATTAAAAAATTTCCACAATCTCCCTTTTTTACTTTTATGTGTGTTGTCTATCTTCTATATAAACCATGAGCTCCTTTATGATGTAAACCATAAACTCTTTTCTACTCTTATTTATAAAGATATAACTACTATTATAATAAAAGATTAATTATGTAATGAGTTGCAATTACCAAAAGACATAAAAAAACTAATTAGTTTTGTAATTTTAACAAAAAATTGGAGTTCGAGGCACTTATTATGACTTTTCTATATATAACCATGAATTCATGTGACGTAGACACCACATATACGATTAAATATAATAAAGTATCTCAGTCTGGTCAATATTTCAAGTTATTGTTATAAATTTTTTTTGTACTAGTATGTTATAAAAATTGTAATGACGACTATCACGATCACTAATTGTCTAGTAGTTTGACTACTTAATTGTATTGGTAAAAGCGCAGGTGCATTACACGTAAATAAAATCTAATTTGCAACAAAGTTATAAATATTTAATTGTATTGATAACGAAATTGCATTTTTGTATTTATTGATTTAGGTTTCAAAGACTGTAGTGCCAAAGTGGAAAGTCTAAGATTTAAGTCTCGGCAGGAGCGACTTCAGTGTGGATGAGTTCCTTATTAAAGTAAAAGAAGATAAGAATTGTAATATTTTTGTGATAATCCCAAATAATTTATTAAGAATTTCTTCTTTTCCCCATATTGTTGTCGATTTATGAATGTATGTATGGCCACCTTACTAATTTACTTGCTTGTTTAAGAAATTGTTTATACTGCTTCTTCCATGGTGGCATATTTCTCTTTTAGGATGTCCCAAACCTGAAGTTACAATATCATATAAGAGTAATGTCAATGGAAATATAAAGATTTAAAGATAGTGTGGTGTGTATTTGATTCATTTTAATTTTGATTATTACCAAATCAATAATTCAATCTAATTAACCAATACACACGTACATCCAATAGAAACAATAAACTTAAAAGAGTTATAGGGAAATAAATAAATTTTTTACATGAAATTTTCACATGAAACCTCAGGGAGAAAAATTATAAAGATTTTATCATTTTAGGTAAATTGATCCACTATAACGGAAATGAACATGAGGTTTTCGTGTATTCAAAACTGCTCTACATGAATTCGAGGTTTTTGTGTATTCGGAACTGCTCTACACAAGTTATCTTTCAATATTTGCGTAATAGTTTGTTGTTATTTTACCTTCAATGCTCAATGTTTTTTACTCTAGTACATTCAGAATCATTAGCAATACTGATTTATGCAAATGCAATCACCTCAAAACAATCTTCTTCTCAGAGTGAACAAATGTCCATGTAATTTCACAAGTGCGTACGAATAATTGATTTATCTGATGAAATCAATGAAGGGCCATGCTCTCATATCAATCATGGTTGTTTAAATGGCTCCAATCAAGTTTTGCATAATTATCTAGTGGTTTAAATATCATGTAATTGTATTGGTAAAAGTGCACATGGATTGCACGTGAATAAAATCTATTTCGGAGCAGAACTATCAACCTATCAATTGAAAAATAGGGCTTCTTTATCAATCTTATGTCTTTTTGAAGGTTCTTACAACCTGGAGTGGTTGTGGTTTAAATTATAGAGAAATTTGAATTGATCTCAGTTCCGATTTGGATATCAATAGTAAAGATGAAGAGAATAGTAGAGAGATAAAGTGATGAGCCAGAGTGGACCAAAAATGGGCCAAAGATAAAGTGACGAACCAGAGTGGACCGAAAATCTATTTTTCTCACTAAAATCTAAAATTCCCAAAAACTAAGGTATATATGTCATGTTAGGTTGCTTACTAAATGATTTTAATCTCCTTCTCTTAACCCTCTTTCTCTCTTTAAAATTAAATCTTTTAATGCGTGTCGAAAGCCCCCATTTCCCTCTGGTCTAATTTTTCACACCAAACACCTACACCTTTACATAACATGCCTCTCATTCCAGTTTTTCAATTTTTATAAACGTTTCTAGTTTATAATTGTGTGTGTGTGTGTGTATATATATATATATATATATAAATTTACATATTTGGTGCTATCATGCTATTTTCTTAATGAACTTTTAACTTTCTAAGATTCACTTCGTCAAGATAGAATGCGGGGTATATTATACTTGACAACTTAAAGCAAGTGTTTAATTTAGGATAAATTTTTTCATTCATAAAAATAATTTATTATATGGACATTTATGTAATAAACCATCAAAAGATCACTCACGAGAAGTGCTGTAATGATTGACTGGGATTTGCCATCCTTTGTCTCGCTATTACATAATACTGTATCTGTTTTGGTTTTAACTTAGACATCCGTAGTCTAGGGTTTCTAGACTACACATGACTTTGGTTTATTTTGTAAACACGTGAATTGTTTATATGGACTTGCCCATTGTTTAGGTGTATGCCTATTTGTAAATATCTTTATATCATTTATACAAATTTACCTTTTAAAAAAGAAAAAAACAATTGTCATTATTCATCTTTTTTTTATATTAGGTCAATATAGACCAATTTTGTTTAGATTTGTCAAAAATTTTAATTTTTCTTAATATATATATATATATGAAAATGATCTTTTGTTCACATAAGCAAACAATTTATCCACACCAAGCATTATGACTGTTGGATACAATTGCTAGGTTTTTTTTTTATTTTAATAACTATCATTTTTACACTTGAATCATATCTAACGGTCATGTATATATGTATATGAAATACATGCATATATATATATATATATATATATATAAAAATAATATTAATACTTTGAAATAAAATTTGACACTTCACTTTCCTTGATATTTTGATTATGTTATAAAAACTGTATAGGAAATTTCCGTACTATCATGTTATAAATAGTGTAAAGTCAACTATAGTGATCATTTATTGTCGAGCAGTTTAAATCTTTAATTGTATTCGTAAAAGTGCATGTCCATTTCACTTTTATAATTTTTTTATAAATCGTTGGATCATTCTTATCTCTCTTCCCCATCCAATATAAATCTATAAATTCATCCTCCTCTATCTTCCCCATCCAATATTAATCGTTGGATTTATTCTCATCTCTTTTCCTTCACATCGTATCTTTTTTTCAAGGTTCTTCACCATGGTTCCTAAAATCTAATTTCCTGCACAACTAAGGCAAAGAAGTCATGTTGGGTTACTTAATAATTTATTACAAGGACATTTATGTAATAAACCATCAAATAATCGCTCAATGAAGAATTTGATGCTTGACTAGGATTTGATATCTTCTTTCATCCAGCTACCGCAAGAACCTCCTTATTACGATAATACCAGAGCTGCTTTGGTTTGGACTTAGACATTTGTAATATAGGGCTTGTACAGAATACACGTCTTGGTTTATTTTGTAAACCAGAGTTGTTTATATGGGTTACCCATTGTTTGGCCCTATGCCTGTTTGTCAATATTTTTATACCATTTATATAAATTTACCTTTTGAAAAAAAAAAAAAAAGGTTATTATTCATCTTTTTTTTATTTTATGTTATTTCAGATCAATTTTGTTTATATTTGGTCATTAATAATAGAGTCATGTTATTTAGCCCGACAGATAAAACCTACTACTTCATCGAATCTACATGGCTATTTATGTGTCAAATATAATAGACCCATAAAAGTGTCAATCACCATGTATATCAAGTTGTGTGTTTATTATATATATACATCACATTGCATCTCTTAAAGAACTCTTGAGATACTTCAAACATCTCTTATATATAATTAGATTGTGTATCCTTGGTTATACATAAAACATTATGTCTTTGATCATTAATATACTTTAATTACTTTAATAGCCATTTGTTAATTGTTATAATAATCAAAACTAATGATCTATCTGACTCCCAGAAACAAAAATAAGGAGAGGAATTTAAAAAAAAAAAATATGCAAAGTATTGAAAAATTGTAAATACATTGTAATTTTTGTTGCAGATTTTATACAAATAATATTCTTATATTTGAATACGATGAAACTTGATGTGAAAAAAAAAAAAAAAAAAAAAATGATGATATAACCATAAATGGAAAACTAAAAAAATAAGGAAATGGGTTATGAAACACTGAAAAATAAGAAAAAGAAAAAGAGACATATTTTATGGAAATAAATTAAAGTATTAATGATGCCTATTTAAGTTGAAAATTTAGAATAATCACGTCATCTTTAATCTTTGTTGGTTTTAAGTCGGGTATTAAAGTCGTCAATAATATCATTTTCCTTAATAATAATATAGATATAGATATTTATGGAAATGATCTGTTGCACACATAAGCAAATAATTTATCCACTGAGTATAATAATCATTGAATATGATTGTTATATTTTTTAATAATTATCTGTGACGGCCCAAGTTTTGCAACCCAGTGCGTCAGTGATGACCCAAAAATTGACTCAATAACGGATTCGAAATACGGAAGCGAAAGATAAAAACCAAAGTCTCTAGAGATACAAATCATCCCTAAGACACAAGAATGACCTTCCATGAAGTCGTGGAACTCAAGGAAATAACTGAAAGCGGAAGCTAGAATAAAAAGGGATCGAATGGCACCCTATGGCACCACTGACAGCTAAAGGAACAAGATCTAGTTCAAACTAGACCACGTATGTCATTAAATGGCTTAAACAAGATAAACAAGGTCCCGTGGGAACAAACGAACGGAGTTAACCTGTTTAGGCAACAAACCAAACAAAACCCACAAGGCAGCATCATTTCGGTTGTCTGAAATGATGCTTCGATCGACCGAAATAAGCCAAGAAAGAGCTCACATTTCGGTCGGCTAAAATGACAAACTGGTAGACCGGTTTGTGGCTCAGAATGGAAATTGGCTACTGGAATTGAGTTTTCACTGTACAATTAAATCTAAAAAGCCATCCGTTGACCGAAATCGACCGAAATGACTTGAAAAAGTGCATATGAACCTACTATGCACCAAAAATGGAGAGAAGTTCCTAAGTCTCATATGAATCCCTCATAGTATGATCAATTTAAATTAGGTGCTAAGGTGTGATGATGTAAACATACACGCAAATGTAATATGGTATTTCAAACATGCTACAGTGGCCTATGGCTTTATTACAATTCATTTATAAAATTTGACATGCCAAACCTCCAAAGTTAGAAAAATTTACATTTCAAAGGCAAAACTCAAACATGCAAACACTTGCATGTGAACAAGAACACAAATAAAAGAACTTCAAATCTACAATTCACCCACAACAAATGCAAATCCCCAAATCTTGAATCATGTACTTGAAAAATAACCCCGGTAACTTTGGGGTAAGTAACATAAAGCTACTCGTAGGAGATGAGTATGCAAAGATCTAACGTTTTACAAGTTTATCACATTAATGTAAAACAATTCAAAAGAGTATGCCACCTAACGTCGGTGTCAAATGTGAGAGGGAGCGTCCTAAGCTACCTTAGAACATTTCTAACATAAAACACACCATTCATGCAATTTCAACAACACAGGAGCATGCTATACAAAGTAACAAGATATAAATTCTCAAAGCCATCAACTTGAAATCTAAAATATAAAAACGACAAAAGTAAGTCATGCCACCTAACTTCTATGTTCCAAAAGAATCTATAGTATCATCCATAAGCTACATTTGAACATTTTAACATGGATGTACTTAACAACATCAAGTTTGCAATGATTCATTAAAAATCATAATGCATAAATGTACTTAACAACATTAAAAATATGTGGTGATTCCTTACAAATCATAAAGCATAAATATACTTAACAACATTAAATCGCCAATAACCAAAATGACAAGTCACAATTAAACATGATTGTTAACTTGGAATTAAATGCGAAAACAAATAGTGGAAGACTTGGATATCAAATCTCGAAGTAAACCAAAACCTAAACTGTTATTCCGGGCACTAACCCACTAGGAATACCACCCCGTGCGCACTAATGACTTAGAGAACTCTTGTTCCCGTACTAGAGCCAAACCTTAGCCATCTCAATGTAACAATGTTCCAAGTGATTCAAAAATAAATAAATAAGTTCACAACTTATACGTAATTTAAATAATGCACGAAACTACCTTCTATACACAAGTAGGTTGAAACCACACAGCACATGCTCTAAATCCATAACTACTATAAGATGATAAGTGTCGAATCTTCAGAGTGCGATTCTTTAGACGCTATAATAACATCACATGTCGAATCTTCAGAGTGCGATTCTTTAAACGCTATAATAACATCACATGTCGAATTTTTAGTGTGCAATTCGTTACACGCTATAACAATATAATTCAATATTGAAAACATAAACTCATGGATCTATTACAAGTCTAAAATCATGATTTAAACATACTACCAATGTCAAACACATGACTAAATCAGTAATGCAATAGAAACGGGAATTAATTAAATAACTAATTAATTTCACTAGGTTTCAAATCTCAATTAAATGATTCTCAATTAATATATGTTAAACAATATAGCATGGTCATTACATATATTCATTTAAAATCTTAATTAAGCCAATTGAACTATTAAATAGATTTTAATTAATTCTTTTAATTAAAATCTCTAGATTTTCAAACTCTTCCAACTGCTTTCAAATTAAAGTATGTTAAAGTACATGCCAAAACTTAATTTAATAGTATATCATAAATTAATTCCATACAAGGTACGACCATGAGAATTAAACTTTCACAAAAGGAAATTATTAAATAAAAGTTACAATTCTTATTCAAATAATCCTAATTTAATATATGTTAACAAACATACTAAAGCCTAATTTACTAGCATGCCACAATTTAATTCTAAATTGTATACCATCATGAGAATTAAATCTTAAATATAAAAAATAATTAAATTAAATTCTAGAATTTGAACTAAAGCATGCATGCAAATTGTATAAGCTTCTAAAACAATCAATACAATATTAATAAAAACCTAAGACATCCCCTACCTCAATTTGAGATGAAATCTCAAATTCCCACCGAAATGAAACCGCTCTGAATTCTACGAAACTTTTACGTTTTGTCGGGGACAATAAGGTGAACATTAAACACCAAGGAGGTACCACCAAAATCCAAACCCGAACTCAAACTTGAACTTTAAAATGGTAAAAACAGATTCTAATAAGGGGGAAAGGAAGATCTTATCAAGGCCTACAATAAACACTAAGGCCCTACGGCATTTATCACGAGGGAAGAGGCCGAAAAAAGAAGAAGAAAGGTGGCAACCCCTTGGCTGCCATGGCTGCAGGCCAAGAGAGGGAGGAAGAAGAAAAAAAGTTAACTTTTTCTTATTTCACCCCCTATTTATAGAAAAACCCTAAAAGTGTCCCGAACGGGTCCCGCCGGGTCCAGAAAAGTGGAATTCCCGTAGACGCACTTAAACGGCAAAATACCATGAACGAAAAAGAATCAAAATGAGAAAATATGAACAATGAAAGAAACGACGTCAAAAACTGAGTCCCAAGCAGAAAGATATGCCTCGAACAAGTTCGGCGGCAATCGGGACCAGAAACCTTGAAACTGGGGAAAAACGTCCAAAAGGAAATTCTAAGAGCCCGTTTACTAACGCTTTTTCTTTCTTACTTTTGCTTTTTCGAAAATTAAAATCATGATTTTGATTTCTTTGAGATGTAGCAGAAAGTAAAATTATGTTTAGTAAACTGCGAGCTACTTTTGAAATTTGAAAGCAAAACACAGAAAGTGTGTTTAGTAAACTGTTGTCTACTTTTGAATTTGAAAGCAAAACACAAAAAGTGTGTTTAGTAAAAAATAATAAATTTCTGTTTTTGTTTTTGGTTCTTGAATTGCTTTTGGTTCAGATTTTGGTTTTCTTTTATGAGATTCCATTTTCTTTTCTTTTTTTAATAAAGAAACGTATAATGAATAAAACGGAAATTAACATTTGCCTACATGAAATATAAATAGAGCATGGACAAAATTTCAGGTCATAATTTAATGGTTCTTATAGATTGCATGGGTAGGGATCCCAACTGCACCTGCCTGGCTTGCAACACAAATGTTCATTAAGGTACTGTCAAAATTTTCAGCTTGTTCTCATGGGTAGCTCACTATTATGGCTTTATTTCTATAGTTGAAATTGCCAATTTTTTTTTTAGAAAACCAAGACTTGAAACAGAGTCATTTTGAGGTACTTATTGTTTGCTTACTTCTTGTGTTTGCCTGCAATCTGATAGGCTCAATTATGAGAGAATGTAAATTATATGCTCCTCCGGCAGAATTTTAAGATCAGATGATGCGGTGATATTTAGAAGAAGAAAAAATAATTGTCATGAGGATTCTTTGGTTTGTCATCAAATGGCTACTTTTTCTGTTTTTTTAAAAAATATATGCGATTTTTGTATATCTGTCAAAATATAACGCGATTTGTTTGGAGATGATGCTAATAATGTCTTCTTCTGCATCTTCTACCACTGTTTATAAAGTGCATTAGATCTGCCATATATGAGAAAAAATGCATTATTCTTTAGCAAAAAGAGATCAAATGTATATATGTATATACTGAAGTGTAAACTTCTACAAAAACTAATGGAAAATTGGGAATATATTGGTTATCAATCTAATCTAAATGCATCCCAAATTGGTAGCCTACAAAAACATAATGACTCTGAGACTTGAGCAACAAAATCCAAATCAGATGTGAACCCTTCAAGATCACTCTTTAACAGATGACTGGATAGAGCATTGAGAAGGAAAATCAGAGAATGATAAATATATTGAACTTCACAGGAAATTTTATGTCCGATTTATAAGACGAGAAATTTGGAGTCAGCATACACATAATATCAAAAGGATGTAGATTATAACATGAATTCAAATGGCATTTAGACACAAAATTAATCCTAATAAAAGTGACAATATTGCAATATCCAAATAGAAAATTAATCCAAAGTGACAATATTACAATATCCAAGTTGAAAAATAGAAAAATAATCCTAATAAAAGTTACAATATTATAATGAGCAAATAGAAGTGATTTATCTATCACAATAGTTGTTGCACAACTCATGAATTAGCTCATGTGTAACATTTACTCTCTGAGAAGTACCACCTAGCTCCACTTCTTCTTCTTTTTCTTCTTGAAGATTGGCATTCTCATCCCCATATTCATCAAAAAGACGATCTAAACGGGTTTCGTTACGAACAAAATTATGTAATGTGCAACAAGCAATAACGATGAGTGTTTGTACACTTAGTTTGTAAGGAGGCATCAACTTAAGGATCGGCCAACACATTTTTAATACACCAAAACAACGTTTTATCACATTTCTCAGTACAACAATTAACACACTTCTACAACTTATTAGATCCGAATAAAATAACCTAGCATTGAACATATAATACTGTAAAATAATATAAGGAACAAAATCTCTATATTACAGTAACTAAACACAATAATGATGCTGTCTGGTTATGTGCTTGCCTCACCATTCAAGTTTAGAATGACTGTTCAAATATAAGAAAATCTGAAATTTATCCATGTTTTACCAAATTGCCAGCATAAGATTGATGAAGATGGTATATGTTATTTTATCTGTTTAATTTCAGACCTTTTTAACTTAGTTCTACACTTGTTAATGAAGCATCCACTCAAATAAAGATTAGACCCAATCATGGGTAGTATGGACAGTTGGAGCTAACATACTGTCATCAAGATGGAAGAACCTCTAGGCTTCTATTCCTAATGTAGACTTCAATTTCGACTTGAGTAGAAGGATGAATAAATTATCCACCTTCAAAAATCAGAAGAAATAGTAAATTATTCACTCATTTTGCACATTTACTTTTAAAACTCTTCATGGTAAAATTTAGATGTTAATATGAATTAAATACTTAGATGATTGAAGGTCTAGGTTTAGCTATATTAACCAACAAATTGTCTCAAAATCACTATATATAAGCTGTCAAACTTGCAAAAGCAAGCTTTTCATTATGTTATAAACCATACTGCCTTTATATATGGGCAAAATGAACATGTGATGAAACACTAGTTCCTGTAGAAATCAACATTATATAATAGATAGCAAAACCCATCTCACATAGTTATATTTTGAGAAGCAAACAACCTTGATTTTATTTTCATTTACTCGCAAAATAAGATATAATGATTGTCAAATGTGGAAAGTTCTTTGTTAAAACTACTCATCACCACAGATTTAGAGTAAATCAATACAAGTATAGGTGTCTTTCGACCTTGAATAGCTATAAAGCATGGATGGAAAAAAGGAACAGAGTCGCAAAAAGGAAAATGTTGTTTATAAATTTCAAGCAATTTCATTATTACCCAAATCAGAATAAATCCTGAACATGAATTAAAACTGAAAAAAGAGGTTTAAAAAGTAGCAGATGAAGCCATTATTTGTAAAATAAATTCTAGAATAACAAATTAACAATACAGCCTTGCAAGCATGAACCTTTTACTTCAATTCGAACATGAAACACAATCAAATAATCAAAATTAACCATATATAAGACATATGTGCAATAAAAGAACAGAAAATGAAATGAACTTTAAATACCTTAGAAGTACAAGTTAGAGCAGAACTCAAGTACGAATTTGTTCTTGAAAAATCTACATTGGAAAGAAAATTGAAGTTTAAGAACTCAGTTGTAGAAGGTGAAACCTTAGAATTTCCATGGAAATGGACACGGATACCAAATGGGTACTGTGCAGATGATGTACCCATCAAGAAAAGAGATAACCCAATTCACCAGAACCAATCAATTCCAAGAAAAAGCAAGCTTTTAGAGACGACACTTACAGTTGAGGAATTGGAAGACCCAGATTGAAACCCAGAAGACTATGAAATCAAGCTCACTGAGAAAACAATTTTCGTTGTTGTTCATTGAATCAGAATTCGGAAAGCAAATGGTACCGAAGACAAACAGAGCATAACTGGATAGAAGTGATTACATAGGGACCGAGTATTGGACCGAGTATAGATGAAATTGAGGCCCATATTGATGCAACTATTACCAAATAAAAAATAAAAGAAATCCAAAACCAGAACTTCTCATAGAAATTACACAAAGAAAAAAAGATATTTCACTTATAAAAATGATTCAGGAAGAGAAATTGTAGATTCTAGGGCAAAATCTTCATATACGAGGAGAGAGAGAATTTGAGAAGAAAGAGAATTTGAGAAGAGAGGGCGAACTTACCCGTGGTGTTGTTGGTCGGCCGTTGAGTCTCCGTTGCCAATCGATGCTCGCAGATGAGGGATGACGATCACCTGATAGAACTTTCTTGAAGAGGCGAGAAGCTAGGGCTTGGATGTTGCGGATGATGATAAAACAAGAGGACGGGTTTTAAGTTTTACTTACTTTCGCTACAGTGTTTAGCGCTATAGTGTTAAGCGCTACAGTGTCGAAATTACTTCCTCCGCACAGTACAGGAAGTAGAGAAAGTGAGAAAATCTCACTTCCTCTTCTCTTCACAAATTTAGGAATTACTTCCTCAAAATAAAAAAGTGAAAGTAATTTAATAAACGTGATTTTACTTTTATTTTTATTTTTTCAGAATTGAAAGTAGAAAGTAGAAAATAATTCCTGTTACTAAACAGGCCCTAAGAGTACGTGACTCGACGAAAAGTGAAAATAAATCCCGTACGAGGATTCAGACTCAAAACGAGGCATCTTTGCAATAACTTTCATTAATTGCACAATGGTCTCTACAAAAAGGGTTAACTACACTAATGACCCAGAATGAAAATATCTCCTAAAAATATTTTCTTAAAAACTCCTGAAATAAAATATCTTCAAAAGATATTTATGAAAAACACCCCAAAAAATAAAAATGTTTCTGAAGAACTTTGCATCCATACCTCTATGGACACCGGGAGCAACCAAAGTACTTTTCTACAAAAGTAAAGATATGTATTTTGTGGAAACCACTTAGAATGAAGGTACGTGAAATCAAAAACTAATTCCGAACACAACAAGTGAGGTTATGCCAACAAAGTGACAAACGGGAAAAAAGACGAAAAGTGAATAGTGTCCAAAAAATGAAAATATGAAAATGACACAGTCCTTTAAAGAAATTGTCAATCCAAAGGAAAAAGTCTCAGAAACCATCCCTGAGCACTCAAGATAACACTAAGTAACGAGAAACTGAACTCAGAAAGGAAAAGATCAACGGAAAAAAAATATCCGTAATAATCTGAGAAAGGAGAAAGGAAGGAAAATGATCGGGTCATTACATATCTTTTTTACACTTAAATCATATCCAACGGTCATGCATATATGTATATGAAAAATCTATATATATATATATATATATATATTTATATATATATATATATATATATAAATTAATTTTACTATTTTAAAAAATATATATATGACATTTCATTTTTTTTTTTTTTTTAAATTTTGATTATGTTATAAAATTGTAAAGATAACTCTACAATGATCATTAATTGTCTAGTAATTTAAATTTTTAATTATATTGGAAAATTTGCACGTGTATTGCATGTAAATAAAATCTAATTAGCAACAAAGTTATAAATTAACTTTTTATAAATTGTTGGATCATCCTTTTCTCTCTTTCCCATGCAATATAAATCGTTGGATTCATCTTCCTCTCTTCCTCATCCATAGTTCCCTTTTTAGTTTGCAACCTACCAATGAAAAAAATAAGGTTTCGCATCACATGCCTCTCATTCCATTTTTTCAATTTATATAAACATGTGTATAATTATATATATATAAATATATATTTATGTTTGGTACTATTACATTATTTTCTTAATGAACTTTTTTCTTCTCCAAGACTCATTCCAACAAGGAAGAATGTGGGGTATACTTTATGTGACAACTTGAAGCGAGTGTTTAATTGAGAGCAAATTTATCCATTCATACTATAATTTATTACAAGAAGGACATTTATGTAATAAATTATCAAATGGTCACTCAATAAAAAGTCTGATGTTTGACTGGGATTTGTCATCTTCTTTCATATGGGCACCTTTGAAACTCTAGATTGAATGAAAATGGGGTTTTGTCTTGCCGTTACAACTAAGGACAAATCTGTGAAGGGCTCAGTGGGGGCATCCGCACCCACTGAAATTTTTTATTATTTCATTTTACACCCTTAAATTTATACCTTTTGCATTTATACACATAAAATTTTGAAATTGCCCCCACTGAAATTATGAAAAAATCCCTTTATATAAATTTGCCTCCCTAGTATAAATTCCTAAATCCGTCCTGATTACAACAATACCAAAGTTGTTTTGGTTAGGACTTAGACATTAGTATTCCAGGGCTTGTTTAGATTACCCATGTCTAGGTTTATTTTGTAAACCTATGGGTCATTTATATGTTTGACTGGGATTTTCCTTCTTCTTTCATTTTGACACCGCCGGAATCAGCCTCTAGATAACGCGGTTTTGCCTCAATGTTACGATAATACCGAAGTTGTTTTGGTTGGTACTTAAACATTAATAGTCCAAGGCTTGTCTAGATTACACGTGTCTTGGTTTATTTTGTAAACTTGTGGGTCATATATATATTTGACTGTTATTTGCCATCTTATTTCATTTTGGCACTCCCGGACCGGCCTCTAGATTGAACAGAAATGGGGTTTTGCCTTGCTGTTATGATAATACCGAAGCTGATTTGGTTAGAATTAAGACATTAAGTCTAGGGCGTGTTTAGACTACGCAAGTCTTGGTTTATTTTGTAAACCTGCGAGTCATTTATATGGGTTGCCCACTTATTTTTTTTTTTTTGTAAGTATGGGTTTGCCCATTGTTTACGACTAGGCCCTGTTTCTAAAATATCTTTATACCATTTATACAAATTTACAACATTTTGTATAGAAATTTAATTAATAATATAAATATAGACATATATGGAAATTATCTCTTACATGACTGAGCAAACCAAGTATAACGAATGTTGGATATAATTGCTATGTTTTTTTTTATATTTTTTATTTTATAAACAATACTTAGGTCCTCATTGGTAAAAATTTATACCATACTCACCGCTGATATGAACCAATAAGAAATGAACATGTCATCTTTAATTGCCAAATCAAATATCTCACTTTTAAATGTAGTCTTATAATCTAATCATAAGGCTAACCATCACTAATAATGTACATAAACAAACATAATTTGAAATAATGTGCATAATAATAATTTATTATTATATTTCAAATAATTTATAATGTACATAAATATATTATAATTTATAATTTATGATTAATATATTATATTTATTATATATTTGAAATAATTTATAGTGTACATAAGTAGGGATGGCAACGGGGTGGGTTTCCCTAAATCCCGCCCCGTCCCTTTTAATTTTTATCAAGTCCATGCCTGCCCCGAGACCCGCGACTGGTTGGATTTTTATGTCCAGCCCCACCCCGTTAGGAAATACTGTGCCCCCGTGTCCGCCCCGCTAACAAATTTTTTTCTCCCACTTTTTGGAACTTAAACTCCTGCTATTTAAATGTGCAAAGCCTAAGAATGGCACAACATAAATAAAATTATGTATCCCAACAAAAATAAAAAAATAACATGCACATAAAATAATTCGGAGAACATAATAAACAAAAATAAAAGTTTAATACAATCAAATCACAAGAAGCTCTAAGCTCCAATTTCCACCATAACCAAAACAAAAGTAAATTTAATACCAAGTTTACATCCCAAATTAGGATTGTAAGAGATGGGTAATTGAGTAAGCCGCTAAAATAACTTATTAATATTATATATATATTTATTAAATATAGTTATATGCGGGGCGGGGCCTCTAGGATATGTATACTGAACCTTTACCCGCCCCGTGACCCTAGACGGGTACAAAATTTGTGTCCATATCCGCCCCAAATGTATAAAAAGTGTTCCATATCCGTTATTAACGAGGCGGGACGGGACAGAGCCCCGACGGGGCAGTAAAAATTAACATCCCTGTACATAAGACTAACCACCACAAATAACGTAATAATAATTACTTTTAAATGTAGTGTTATGAAATAATAGTTGTTTTAAGAAATTACTATTCTTTTAATTAATCATTTTGAGGTGAAATGACTATAATAAACCGTTTTTTCAAAAGGAAAATATCAAATTTATCTAATTTGATTAACGGTGAACTGCCATCACCTCCACCACCACTAGAAACAGTCCATTTTTGTAAGGCTTGTACATAAACAAAATAATTGCAGATGTCAATAACATCTACTAGAATACGCAAATTGCCAATGCCCCTTAATCATAAAGACATTCCTAATTAAGCTCACAAATTACCTCAGCCCCTTAATAAAAAATATCTGTAAAGTGGTTCGAATTCAGATTGTTCAAGAATTTTGGAGGGCCAACTTTTTAACTCTGTTTAGCATAAAAGCTGTAGATACAGGATTCCAACAAGCAGTCAAGCATATGAATTAAGTATTAACAATAACGGGCGTAGGAAATTAGCAAAACAGGTTCCTTCTACATCGGGAGTTTTCTGCAAATCAATATATATATATATATATATATATATATATATATATATATATATATATATTCTTTTCTAGCTAATTCACCAACAAATAATGCACATATGAGATAACGGAATTGTAAAACAAGTAGAAATTTTACACAAAATTAATTTAATTTATGGTGGTGTGGTGGTGATGGAAGGTGACACAGGTGACGATGACGTTGGAGATGGTGTGGTGATGGAAGGGACAGCAGTGGCGATTCACAGTTATTAGAGAAAATTAATTATTTTTTTCCTCTTTTAAATGACCTATTATAACATTTCATCTCAATTATAATTAATGATTAATTATGAAAATTACAGTTTTTTAAAACCGTTATTATTTCAAACAATAATATTATATTTAAAAGTGAAGAACTACTCTAACTCATCATGGAACAGTTAAACACCATTATATATATAAGAAAAATAATAGTAATATTGTGAAAATAAAAAATTTGAGACTTTAGTTTTTTAATATTTAGATTTAATAAGTGACGTGTCAAGTCATTTTCGGAGTTTCAATAAATAAATATTTTAATATTTAGATTTAATAAGTGACGTGTCAAGTCATTTTTGGAGTTTCAATAAATAAATATATATATATATATATATATATATATATATATATATTAATTGCAAGGCATATGCATCCAGCATGAAAACGTTGCAGTTATATTACTGTGGTCCGGTGCATTTCGTAACCGACGGCTGTCACAACACCGGTGTCACAAAGAAACAAAAACGTTGTGGTTTTGAAATTAGAAAGAGGGTCACATAATATACGTGTACACTGCCTTCTCTCTCTACTTTTTGATTGACCTATGCATGTTCTAAAGATTACACAAATCTTACACCACTCCACCACTTTTACTCTGCTATATAAATCCATTCCTGCTTGCCTCATTTCACTCCACACCCCACGATATATATACATATATATATATGTATAACTCTCTCTCCTCTTTTATACCTTCTTTCACTCTCTTTCTCAACTTTAATTTTCTGTGTGTACCAATCATGTCTGCAAATATTGATCCTCTGGTAGTGTGCAGAGTGATCGGCGATGTGGTGGACATGTTCACACCCTTGGTTGCCATGTCTGTCCATTTTGGCTCAAAACATGTCAATAATGGCTGCAATATCAAACCCTCCATGGCTGTTAATCCTCCCAGGATTACTATCTCTGGCCGCATTGATCAACTCTTTACTCTGGTCTCTCCTCCCTATTTGCATGTTTTCTGATCTTAATTTGTTATCGAAATTAATCAATATATATATACATATAGTCTACGGGACAAACTGATACGGAACCGTGACACGTAAATAGAGTTGTTTGATAAAAATATGTAGCCTACTTTTAGGACAAACAAATTGCGGAATCTAACACTGAGTAATATATATAATTTAATCATGGAACGAAAATACGGTTGTTTGAGAAGAATTATTAGTTTTAAGAGTTTAATTTTATCAGGTACTTTTGGAGAGACTGAGTTAGATTAACATGTTTCAAATTCGCTTTGTAGGACCAAATTGGTCATTGGGTAAACGCTTAGTCTATCACTTCTCTATTTATTTATTTTTTTAATTAATTTTTAGATTCTTTTAACTTTTGGCTTGCTTTTTTGGGTGCAGTTGTTTTACTATTTTTTAACGCTTTTAAGACATGCATATAGATTTCTTACATTCATGGTAAATTTCTTACATTTATGGTAAATTTCTTACATTTTTATGATTGTGGTGGCTTATGTAGGTGATGACAGATCCCGATGCACCAAGCCCCAGTGAACCATCCATGAGGGAGTGGGTTCATTGGTTAGTCTATTACTTTACTTGTTTAATTTGTTCCTCTTGCCAATATATGATATATTTATTTATTTTATTATTTTTTTTTTTTTTGCATTTCAGGATAGTCACAGATATTCCTGGTTGTACTAGCCCTACTCAAGGTAAACACTCGACCTCTTATAAATTTTAGGATATTAATTTGATTCATGAATTTAATGTAATTCAATCTGTACAGTTCATATTGGTTTTTGTTTAGTCTATCGATTCGATTGTGGTTTCAGAAATATGCAAACCATCAAAAATGGATCTCACAAAATCAATCCGAACAATTACTTATTATACAGTATACACAAATATATTATATATATAATAATTTTTAGATTTAATTCTGAAACTACCCACCCACCCACCCCTTTATATATATAGATATATATATATGTAATATTGGGAAATTCATATGTTTTGACAAACAAAAACTTCATTGAAGAAGGCACATTTCCAATAAAAACAAGACTCGTGACGTTTTTTTGTTGAATTTTCATTCTTTAGGACCCAAAATCGCATTTTTCAATCTAGTTGAATACTTTTCGATTTTTAATAGTGGTCAAGTTTAAAATTGAGTTAAAATTTGATAGTTATCTTATTTTAGTGATTAGTTTTTATTATTCATTTTTTAATTTTTTAGAAATTGTGCTATTTTGGGCTTCTTTTACTTTATTCAGTGAGCAGATCATTAACATTCATTTTTTTCTTTAATTAAAATTTATGTATGCAAAGTTGTTTTATTGTTCAAACATGTTTAATTTTATTATTAATTATTTCCATAATTTAAAAATAGTGTAATTTTGGGCTTCTTTTACCTTATTCCGTGAACAATCATTAACTTTCATTATTCATCAATAATGTTTCAGAATCTTCTTTACTTGAATTTGTGGATTTAAAGTTGTTTTATTGTACATTCAAACGTTAACACTTCCGCTCTGTCACTTGTGTTCACATAAAATACATATTTTAATTCATTGTAGGCAAAGAGATCCTGCCGTACATGGCACCATGCCCACCAGTGGGCATCCATCGTTTCGTTTTGGTTCTTTTCCGTCAGAAATCGCGTATTGGTCTCATCGAGCAGCCTGCGTCGCGAGCAAATTTCAACACGCGTGCGTTTGCACACCAACTCGACCTTGGCTTGCCTGTGGCCACTGTCTATTTCAATGCCCAGAAGGAACCACTGAACAAGAGTCGACGCTGAGGATGAGATATGTATAAATAGTTGACAGGTTTGGAGAGTGTTTTTTTATATGTTCAAGTACTCTACTTTCTTTGTTTTCTTATAAATGTCTGTATGGAGTCTATAAAAGTGCTTGTGTTGAGCATTTTAAAATATTATATTTTAAGTGTTACATGACTCATTGGAGTAGTTCGATCAATTTCATTTCATATAAGTTTGGATTGTGTACGCGTGTAATTGGTTCATTATTTAGAATTCAAATTGAATTCCAGTTCCAATGTTCCATACTAATTTTAGGAAGCCAAATAACAAATTTTGAAAACAGGACATAATTAATGCTTAATTCTAATTCTCATTCTAAGGCCTTAATTTTCATATATGCAACCAAATGCACCAAGTTAATTATATTCTCGCACGAGCAAACCAGAAGAAGAAGCCGTCTATATAATCAAGTGTTTTAGTGATTCCATGGCTATGACAAAGGAAAGAGAGAACTCTTTGTAAAGTTGCATACTCTTTTGACCGCACAATTAATATGGATGAAAAATTATTACTTTTGTTTTGTGAGAAAGAAGAATAAATTGCATAGAACACCCTGAACTGTTTTGAAATTTTTTTTTGCATAAAAAACTCTGAACTGTTTTTGAGCACCAAAAAAAACCCTTTTATTCTTCAAAATTGTTTTTAAAAAACATTGTTTTGCGTGATTTTCTTGTCTCTAAAACCGGCTTCTATGTACAAAACGGCATTCCAAAAAATATGGAAAGTTTGTTGAATGATATGAAACGAGTTTTGCGAAATGTCAAAGTCTTTGAAGGCGGATTAGTCTAAAGCCAAAAAAAGAAACTTTTAAAAATGTTTTCTTGGAAAGCTGGCAATGCTTTGTGTTAGTGAAAATATTTGTATGACTACAAATATCGTTCTTGTAGAAGTGTTTATATGACTACTACATTCACAATTACATGTAGCTTTAAATGCATATTATAGCCTATCCACAATCAAGAAAATTAATGGATAATAAGATTAGTATTTTTTGTAAGTTCATACGTTTTTTACAAACAAAAATTTCATTAAAGAAGACGCATTTCCGATAAAAATGAGACTCGTGTCATTTTCTGCTGATTTGCATCATTAAGTCCCCGAAATCACTTTTTTCAATTGAATATTTTTTAATTTTTGCTAGTGGTCAAGTTTCAAATTGAGCTAAAATTTGGTAATTATCTTATTCTAGGGTTATTTTTAGAGAAAGTTCCATTCGGGGCTTCTTTTACCATATTTTGTGAACTAATCATTAACATTCATTCTTCATCAATAATATTTTAGAATTTTTTTTACTTAAATTTTGTGAATTCAAAGGTGTTTAAATGTTCGAACGTGAACTCCATCATTCAGTTGACCTAAGATACATGTTTTAGTTCATTGGAGGCAAAGAACAAGAGTCGACGCAGAGGATGAGATTTAAGTTGAGGAATATTTTAATAAAATTAAATGTATATATTAAATTATATATTAAGTTATATTATTATATTAAATACTATTCAACAATATTTAATATAATGATTTATTCATGATATAATTATATATAAATTCTCTATTTATGTTGCCATAACCGTTATTCTTTTACATTATAAAAAGGTTAGATTATCGTTTTATATAAATTAAAGTATGGAGATATATATAAGAGTGTGAGTGAGAATCTTAAGAAATGCTATCATTTTTCTATTAGACGCTTTCATATATGTATATGTGTATTGTTTATTTGAGAGTATTTTATATATTGAGTTTATGGGTAACGAGATATTTATAAATTTAGACCTAGTCTTCCTGTTGATCGTGTACATGGAGGAGACATCGTTGCGAATTGATTGGGTTGTATCTTAGAACTAACTAATTTCGTCAGTACATGCACGAAGGGGATGACTATCAGCTTCAAGTTAATGTTTTCATACATGCATCTACAATCAGGTCAGAAATTTCTTACTTATTTTACTATTATCGTTTTACTTCTTAATTTATATTATTGAGTTAATATTAATATTATATTACTAAATTGTTGTTCATCTTTATATCAATGTTGTTCATATTGTTATATTCATTTTATTGAAAGAATTGCAAAGTGTTATTGATGTGTTATACAAAATTATTTAGTAATGAATTATTTATTATTTTATTTCATTGTATAATGTTGAATTGATTTATTATATTTGTGTTATTCTATAAAATATGTGAAATTTTCACAACAATTTCTATAGTAGTTGATAGGGATAAAATGTGTTTTTTGTATGTTCAAGTACTAGTATTTGTTTGTTTTCTTACAAGCGTATGTATGGAGTCCGTGAAAGTGCCTGTGTTGAGTATTTTAAAGTGTTATATTTAAAGCGAAGTGTTATATTTAAAGTGCTACATACTCATTGTAGTGGTTCGATCTTAAATTTCATTTCATATAGGTTTTGTTGGTATGTGTGTGGAATTGCTGCATTAATTGGAATTCAAATTGAATTCCAAATCCAATTTTCCATATTTATTTTAGGAAACCAAATGGCAAATTCTGAAAACTAGATAGGATTAATTAATTCGTACTTGGATGTATAATGCCTCAATTTTCATATATGCAGCCAAACGCATCTAGTAAATTGTATTCTCGCACAAGCAAAACATAATAACAAGTTGTATATATAACTAGTGTTTGATTGAATCTATGACAAAGGAAGAAGAGAATTCTTTGTAAAGTTGCAAACCCTCTTGACCATGCAGTTAATATGGATATAAAATTATTACTTTTCTTTCATGAGAAAAAAGAATAAATTACATAAAAGACCATGAACTATTTTTTGAGCAAAAAAAAAAAACCCTCTTATCCTTCAAATTTTTTAAAAAAGGCTTGTTAGGTGTGACTTTCTAGACTCCAACCGACTTCCACGTCCAAAAAGGCTATCCAAAAAAATAAGGGATTTTTGGTGAATGATATGGAATGGTCTTTGCGAAACATCAAAGTTCTTGAGGGCCCGTTAAGTTAATACTGAAACAAGAAGTTTTTGTCATATTTAATATAACTAATAAAACGCACGTGTGATACACGTGAGCAAAAATGTTTGTATGATTGTAAAGTATAAGAATTATAAAGGGTCAAAAATAGAAATATAAGACTAATTATGGGAAATACTTAATTGAGAATAATAATTAAAATTATATATTATTGATGGTAAGTTTTTATTTAATTTAATCTAAAGATATATTTTATTTTTTAGTGATAAATACAATATTAAACACAAGCTCTTCAAAAATAGAAATAATTAATTATGAGAAATCCTTAATTGAGAATAATGATTCTAATAATACAATCTTAAACAATGCCAAAATAGAAGTTATTACAAAACATATTTGGAAGACCATTCATAAACACACACTAAAAATATACAAAACAAAGTTCATAGTTCACTGGTTATCACCAAAAATATAACAAATATCATGGAACAATCATCTGATGCGCTACTATGATCATTACCAACTTAAATTGGTCAAAAACTCATTTATTTCACATGTTGTCAAAGTTCAACCGGCTCCACCTAACCAGGTTGCACTTGGGCAGAACCCAAAATACACCACAAATCAACTCCTATTTTTCTGTAACACCTAGTAAATGATACAAACCATATAAAACATATAGAACAAGTCTCTAATGTCCATAAATGAAACATATACAACATAATTATATCAATTTTCTCAAATTACATCAAGTTTCTCAATATGAAACAACTCAAACATTTTATTGGGCATATACATAAACATAAATGTCTCCCAAGCAAGTCATATTCTGCAGCTGAGGCCCCTCCAAATAGGCAGCATCAATACCTGCAAGATACATAGTGGGGGGGGGGGGGGGGGGGGGGGGGGGGGAGAGTGAGACAAAGTCCCAGTAGGATAGACACTAATAGGTGGTCCTAAGAGGATTTTATGTATGTGGCACACATTTTATGCAGGTAAAACAGAGCTATTTACATAGAATAATATACAATTTCATGATGCACATGCTGAGGGATGGAAGACACACAAAAGCCCCAACTCATGGAACCAAGGAACTGCATAATGTGTACTATTGACAAGTAGAACCAGTTGCATTTAAATTGAAACCAGTTGGACTTTGCTGGAAACAAAGTCTAGCCATTTTCATCCTCCAAAATTGTGAGTTACGTAAGCGAAATAGCTGATATAAATATGGAATAATACCTAAAAGGGGTAGTTCGATTTTCTATTTTATTCGATTTTTGCTGTTACCGAAGTAAAACTTAATTATCAATAGTCAATGAAAAACATTTAAAGTGCAAGTTAAGAGTTCTAGTTTAAAACCAGGATTCTAGAAAGTTTGAAATCAGAATTCTAGAAAGGAAACCCTAATTGAAAAATTCTATATAAAAAATTAATAATTATATTTGCACCCTCACTAAACTCCTTAAAAATTCATAAATGTCCTTAAAAAAAATTATCAAATTAAAATAGACCCCACTTTTTCTAATTCACTGTCCAACAAAATTTTAACGAATCAAAATTCTAAAAAGACACTTACTTTGCTATTTATTACTTTCGTTCAAATTTTCTTATTATATTATTGTTAATGGTTGATGTCTGATAAGTAAATTTTTGGCTCCGCCATTGTAACTTATTTCATTACTTGTTTAAGTTTGTGCAGTGTACTCCATTCGTCTCAATTTGGATTGTTCATCTATTTTTCGTTTTTTTTTTTTTTGAGTTGGCATCTCAGCTTTAATTTTCTCTGTGTGTCCTGATCATGACTGCCATTGTTGATCCTTTGGTAGTGAGCAGAGTCATTGGCGATGTGGTCGACATGTTCACACCCCTCCGTTGCTATGTCCGTCCATTATGACAAATAAATGCATTTGTTTGATAAAAATAATATTAGATCATATTACAAAAAATTAATCAATATATATATATATATATATATATATATATATAATACCTAATTTGAGGGGAATATATGTAACCTACTTTTAAGAGACAAA